GAAAGCTCAGAAACGACCCTGAATGAATCCCAGAACACCAAAGATCTTCAGTTCACCGGTGGCTCAGTAGGTGGCAGTAATGCACTTTTAGCTGATGTGCCAAACGGCAGAAAGAGAAGAAGCAGAAGTCGCAGGTGGGAGCTGAGCCAGCATTGTAAACCAAACTGCAGCCAGATTAGCTGAACAGTTCGTGTGAGATCATCAGAAGGTGCTCAGTGACCTCCTTCATCCTCTGAAGATGGTCAATCAGTGCTGCGTGCTGAGGTGCCCGAGCAAAGCCAAGCGCACCACTAAGCGCTTCCACAGGTTCCCTAAAGACCTGAACATCTGCAGACTGTGGCTCTCAGTCATAAAGCACCGACTGGCCTCAGAGAACATAAACAGAGACAGTGTGAAGAACCTGCGGGTGTGCAGTGATCACTTCTTACCGGAGGATTACAGAGAGAGATCCTTAAATAACTCGCTCAACGCTGCAGCTGTGCCTTCGGTTTTCCCGTGGAGTTTAACGTTGCCTCCTCAGAGCAGTGAAGCAGGGGTGAGTACAGAAATGAGCCTGATGGTCACATTATGGACCTGTTGGCTGGAAACAAGTCATCCACCTTCTGCTACTGTTTTAGCTGTGCCACATGCTTTCTGTCAGTGTGTCACACAAGGTCAGAAACCACATTAGCAAGTCTAATAGAGATTAATTAACACTAAAAAACCACTAAAAGTGGTTTGAGGCGAATGTGTGATGATTTAAGTGTGCTGTGCTAATTGGTGGGCTATAAGCTTCCATTAACTGTTAGCTACATTAGCCTCATAGCTCCAGTAGGCCTACTAAAGAAGCAAACTTCAGACACCAAACCTGCACTGCACACTTAAATCAGCTGACTTTACACTGCTGTTATGTTGCAGGTCAAATTGGCCCATTAAAAAAAATTTAATATTTTTTGGAGTATGAAACCTTTTCTGCTGAGCTTAATTAGTGAAATTAATATATAAATAGTTGTGAATGTGTATGTCTGTCTGTCTGTCTGCCCTGCGATGGACTGGCGACCCGTCCAGGGTGTATCCTGCCTTCCGCCCAATGACAGCTGGGATAGGCTCCAGCACCCCACCGCGACCCAGAAGGATAAGCAGTTTAGATGATGGATGGATGGATGGAATATATAAGTAGTATAGTGTAGGTTGGTGTAGTATAGTGGGTCACACCTCTGCCTCCTGTGCTGTAGACTGGGGTTCAATTCTCTGCCTGGGTAAACAACCTACACTATACCAATAAGAGTCCTTGGGCAAGACTCCTAACACTACCTTCACCTACCTGTGTAAAAATGATCTAACTGTAAGTTGCTCTGCATAAGAGCGTCTGCAAAGTGGCATAAATGTAAAATGAATAATTTAACATGTTTGCAGCCTCCCTGCATGTTTATATTACCCACATAATGCCTATATGTTCCTGTAGTCCTACCAACATTATGCATCTGTACTCTGTCAGAGGCTGAAAAGATGAGCAATATGAGCAGAACAATGACAGACAGTTCAGGAGGCTCTGAAACACATCCTCGATCAGGGTCGTGAAGGAGAGGAGGACAGTCTCTGAAAGTGAAGACGATGTTGAGATCAGTTCTGATCATGATGATGAGGGTGTTGTTCCACAGCCATCGACTCCACGAGAGACATTCATATCAAAAAATGGCATCGAAGCATGTGCATCAGGTCAATTTGACTCAGGAACATTATTGCCATTCCTTACAGTTGAACATAACAAGAGAGTTAAAAAAAATCATGCTTATTGCCTTGAAAAATTAAGGTACAGGTTTAAGCTTTAATAACTTTATATATGAGTTATAGTTACTTTCTAATTGTCATTGAGCCACACTATTGTGGCAAGTAAGGTTAACTCAAACAGCCCAATCATTTTAAATGATGTCCATTGAGCTGGCAGCGCTCTACTTCTTCAAGTTCTGTTTACTCTTCAATTAGTTAGATTCATACTCTTACTTGTGTAATGCATTGGCATCAACTATAGCAACTCCATTACGTTAAATGGATTGTTTTATATAGTAACGAATAAAGGGCTTTGATAAGACTAGAATCACTTGTTTCTGAGACTCTTAATAGCTTAGTGCATGTTTGCTGTTCTGTTAGCATTTACAGGTCCAGGCTGAACTGATAAACCTGAACACAAAGCACCATCATGATGAGAATAACAGCATGTAAAATGCAAACTTAGCATTTAACATGAGGATACGCTGCCATACTAAACATGTCATGATAGAGGTTGTATGTCATTAGCTGACATGACCGATTATGTCGAGTCATGTAACAGGTTTACCATTGCTGGTAATTATAACAAATTGTCATGACATCAAACAGTATAACATCTCACATGGCAATTATCGATAATGGTAAGATGGTACTGTTTTATCACTGTAAGCGTATCCCAAGACAACTCAACACCACATATGAATATCTCCATTACATGTTTATGGCATGGTAATTTAACAGGGTGCAAGTTATTCTTTGAATTTAAAAGGTGGGAAACCATCATTACTGCTGTTCACTTCCTGTAGCAGTTCCTACATTTAGCAAAGCTTTTGATACATATCTCAGGCTGGTCTAGTCTGAGAAAATGTGATGTACACCGATCAGGCATAACATTATGACCACCTCCTTGTTTCTACGCTCATTGTCCATTTTAACAGCTCCACTTACTATATAGGAGCACTTTGTAGTTCTACAGTTACAGACTGTAGTCCATCTGTTTCTCTGCATACTTTGTTAGCCCACTTTTACCCTGTTCTTCAGTGGTCAGGACCCCCATGGACCCTCACAGAGCAGGTACTATTTGGGTGGTGGATCATTCTCAGCACTGCAGTAACACTGACGTGGTGGTGGTGTGTTAGTGTGTGTTGTGCTGGTACGAGTGGATCAGACACACTAACACACCACCACCACATCAGTGTTACTGCAGGGCTGAGAATGATCCACCACCCAAATAATACCTGCTCTGTGAGGGTCCATGGGGGTCCTGACCACTGAAGAACAGGGTAAAATGGGGCAAACGAAGTATGCAGAGAAACAGATGGACTACAGTCTGTAATTGTAGAACTACAAAGTGCACCTATATAGTAAGTGGAGCTGATAAAATGGACAGTGAGCATAGAAACAAGGATAAGTCATAATGTTATGCCTGATCGGTGTATGTGTAATTATCCAGGGCCTCTGACATTATGTCTTACTTTTATACTTTCATATCTCACAGGTCCAGGACTGTGGCCCAAAAGATGAGCCAAGTCCAGCCCTGAGAATGCCCCAACCTGATCATAAATTCCCACACACCGATCAACAGCATTCAACATCAGCATCATCTTGCACCGTCTTGGCTCAGCGAACGCGGAGTGAAGTAAGACGACAGAAGGTGGTTCATGATGATGAATTTTAGGGGTAGCTCTGGAAATATAAAAACAGATGTCCAGTTTTAAGGCAGATTCACTGACAAATGAAATTTAAGTGTTCCCCCAAGATTTAGCTAAACTGAATTGCAGATGATAGATGCCAAGACCAATGGCCACTGCACATTTTATTTATTTTTTAAACAATGTGCAATACCTAATGCAATTCTTGATTTTAAAGGTGTTTTCCGAAAAAGAAAATACACCTACTCCACTCTCAACATGTTCCGAGGTGGAAGAGAAATCATGGTGTAAAGGTAAATAAATTTGGTTGTCAGTGTCTTGCCAGAAGAGATCCAGATAGGCCTACATAGGCTGTACTAGTTTTTTAGGCTTAGTATAGTTTTTCAGAACACCTTGTTAAACATTGTCTGAAACATCGAGCACTGCGATCATTTCGTTTGGTCAGAACAGTTCAGATGGCGGAGCGTGGATGGGGTATACGTACATAGAGCTGGGACCATTTGGCGATTTATTAATAATAAATATTGGCTGCGAAATTGGTAATCACTCTTTTTTTTTCGTTTTTTTTTTCTCCCCCTTTTTCCTCCAATTTGTATACATAAGTTTTCTGTGCTCTAGTCCATTATCTGAAACTCCAGTCCTGGTTTTACTTGAGCCGTGGCATAAGTGAAACACTGTTGCCACACTAGTAAAATGATATCTGTTATATTTTAGATAAATATTTACACATTGTTGCTAGGCTTTGTTTACCCCTTCTGGCACCAATGAAAAGTAGACTAAACTTATTGCATGTTGAACTGTAAAAAAGTATGTGTGTAAATAATTAATAGATCAATATTTGTTGCTAATTTTGTCCCGAATTTTTCCCCATTTCTTCCCAGCTATAAATGTGCTTTAGATTACTGTGAATAACAGTAATAGCTGAGGCTGCTGCTGTCACTGTGTTGTTGGGTCACTGTGTTGTATGATAGCTCAGTTACACAGACTACAACATTATAATTAGATGAAGTTACACTTCGATTATGATTACTCAAACTAGCATTTTGGCTACACACAGAGCTACAATAACATAAGCATGGATTGAACTTTGTTACGTTTTATTCCACAGCTGTCAGGAGCCTTCAGTCATATCAAGGGACTAACATTTTTAAGTAAGTCATTCATTCTGCAGTTTCTGTTTTAATTTAGTTTGATGTGAAACTTTTTTTGTCATACGTATTAACAGTCATATCTAATACGTAAATGAACAAGAATATGTTTACTTCTCCTTATTTTCAGGGGCAGTGAGGTGCTGGTGAGCACACAGTGTTTGCTGGAGCTCTTCCAGTACTGCTCGCTCTGTCAGATAGAGAGCTGCATTACCATTGAGGGCCATGAGAGGCAGTTTTCAATTACCCAGGACTGCCAGAGCTGTGGCTATCACAGACAGTGGAGGAGTCACCCCACTCCCGCTGACGAACCTGCGGAGGCCTTAAATACGCAGCACAAAGACCCCGAGGAGGTCAGACATGAAGAACACACAGAACATGAAGACATCCTTCACAAAGAGCATGAGGATGATGATGTAGCAACGTCCCCAAAGGTAGAACGTGCAGCAGAACCTGGGGACAGGGAAGAGAATGAGGTATGTATTTATAAACTCATTTGTCCAGTAAATTACTATATGTGCAGATTTTTCCTTGTAAGAGTGGCGTCTTCAGTGGAATAGAAGTAACATTAAAAACTACATAGAGAGCAGAATGCTACTCTAGTAACAAAACCTTGTGTCTCTAAAATGGATGCTTAATCTGAGAAGGAAAAATGTTTTTATCTTTTACGTATTTTTATGTAGCATTTTGTTTTCTGCAATTCTGTTGGTCAGTTCTTCATGAGGAGTTCATACAATGGAAAAATGAGACGAAGATGCTTTCTGTGTCCTGCAGGTTGAGGTTCAGATTGCATCATCAGATGATGAGGGCACTGAACAGAACTGTGAGCAGAATGATGAGTCGTATTCATCAAGTACTGAGGAGGAAACAAGTGAGCAGGAAGAAGTGGAGAAAAAAGGAAAGAGGAAGTCTAAGAAGCAGGACAGTTCGGATGAGTGGGAACCACATTTAGGTGAAGTAGCAACAGACTCCGATGTATCCGTGGATGAAGACAGCACTTTAATAGAGGATGGTCAAGGTAAGGTGGTGATGTGGTGCACAGTCTGCAGGACTGACGCTACGCTCTCCTGTTCCCTCCATCGCCACAAAAAAGTGTTCGCCTGTGCCCAGTGCGGCGCTGGTGACGACGTCGAGACTCATCATTTTGATAAACTACTTGTTCACTTTGATGACTTTGCCAGCTTTCAGAAACATGCTGAAAAGGAGCATGGAGCCAAACCATTTCGCAAGCTCTGCCAGGAATGTGGCAAGCTTATTTTAGCAGAACCCAAATCCAGCGGTTGTAAAGATCATATATGTGAACACAAGACCAAACCTATCGTCTGTCCAGAGTGTGGGAAAAGATTCCTTACTGAGGTCGGCCTTAAGGGACACTGCAGTAGACTTCATAAGGATGCTGACCACCCGTGCAAATACTGTTTGAAGCTCTTCACGAACAGGCCATCAAAGCTGGAGCATGAGCAGACCCATCCGAAGGAGAAACAGCCATACAGCTGTCCAGACTGTCCAGAAAGGTTCGACAACATTCACAAACGCAACAGCCACCTCAAGCTCCATAGAGGTCCGTATAAGTATGCCTGTGACACTTGTGGGAAGCGCTTCAGGGACATCATTATGCTGAAGAGACATAAACTCATTCACTCTGGAGAAAAGCCCTTCAGGTGCCAGGTGTGCGACCGTTCCTTCAACCAAATGAGTAATCTCAGCTCCACATGCGTCTCCACACCGGGGAGAAGCCCTTCATGTGTGAGCAGTGTGGAGAGTGTTTCAACCACAATGTCAGCTTGAAGAACCACCTGATGCGATATCATCATGCAGCTTTGTCTCAAACAGAGACACTAAGTGCCAATATGATCCAGAGAGCAGTGCACAGTGAATAGAATTTTGAACAGTGGTTGCCTTGATGAAGGCACAGAGTGGACTAGTGAAATATGTAGCTTTAAAATAGTTTTGTTCATGTTCTCTTTAAGTCCACTAAATTCAATGATGGCTTTTAGCTGAAACAACAACAGGGAGCCATAAACACTAAAGCGGCTGAATGGGGCCTACCATGGAGCCAAACACTTAAAAAGAGACTGAATTATATGAGTCAGACTGAGAAGTACAGTGCTGTGCAAAATGTGTGGTATGCTTGGTAAAGATAAAGAAGAAAGGCTATGAAACAATTTCATCCGGTGCTTATTTTGTTGGATTTCTCAAATATTTACAGTGCAAGATTAAGCTGTAAAACAAAAACATTTTCTTCGTTCCACTTTTCCCCCAAAGGGCACAAGTTATTCTAAATTCCTCTCGCCTAGTCGGCTGTTTCACAACACAGGACACCAAAAGTGATTGCCCCATAGTACTGGCCCTTATGTCTCCTTATTATGGACAGGCTTGACCCCAGTTTGATATCTATAAACAGTTTCAGGCTGTGTATCCAAAACAGCAACATCCTCACAATAGGTTGGCTAAATCTTTCATCTGAAGAATGCTTAATGTTGAAGAAGCTGGTTAGTGCATGGAGTAAAATAGCTAGTAAGTCTTAGCTAAAGCTGTGGCTTACCCTCTTTACCCTCTAGTTATTCTTCAGGGAATTTCAGTTTAAATAAATTTTCCCAAAAGGTGTTTAAAACATTCGATATCTCTGAGTACTTAAGCAGGTGCCTGACCTGTGGCAGCCTTGAAAATGCTGGTTCGTTCTGTGGATGGTTGTCAAATCTGTGTGTGTATTGTCTAATCGACTGTTAGACCAGGTTTTTTTACCAACCTTGCATGTAGATATTAATGGTCTGAACCGCACAGATTCTTCAAAAGATTTATCACACCTAATTTGAAGAAGAAATGCTTGTGTAGACTTATTTAAGCTTTACTCTTGACTGTACATTTACACTGTTCCTTGTGGTGGAAATTTCATTTACCATGATTTACTAATTACTTCAAGGACTTTAGTCGGTTCATGTAAAAACAGTTTTTTGCACTCATATGTAAAAATAAACCACATATAAATATTATTCATTATTTTTAATAAGAATTTATGGTTAACACATGAACATTCATCCAACCACTATGGACAAAACATAATTCAAATGTAAATATGCTCTTTTTTTCAAGATCACCCTAATGTCATTAGCCAATCTCAGTTTGTTGTGTGTCATAACATCTCAATGCCTGTAAGTTTGGCTCTCGGGCTTTTCATCCGTTTAAAAATATTCCACAAAAGCAACAATGGCAGAGCTCATAATGTAGATGGCAAGGGTTTGCATTCTGTACAACTGGGGTCCAGTTTTAGTAGGTGATTAGTCGAATTTCATCTTCTATGCCAAATCTCAAGAGGTTGATTGGACTTCTTGTGTAATTGAATTAATCTGGCTTTTCTTTGGCATTTTTAGGTGATTAAAAATGCAGATGTTTGTCCTGCCAAAAAGTACAAAACTTCTTTGTCATTTACATTCTTTTGGGATTATAAGTAAACTGTGATAACAGAAAATAGGTTTCAATACATTGTGTTACCAGTTTATTAATTACATCTATCTAGTAGGTTACGCCCCTTGTCGTTACTCATATATTATGACTCCTTTGGCCTTCAAAACACCATGAATTTGCATGGTGTGTGCCGCCTCTGCAGCCACTGAGCCTTGAAGTGCCCAAGCAGCTATCAGATGTGGCATTCCACTCCAAGTATGCCTTTTCCTCCTCTTGCCTGCTGTCTCGGCCATCTTCACCCACAGTGCAGGCCTGATTAAAACCCCAGCAATCTACCAAAATTGCCTCCGTCTCCTGCCACTGGAAATATATCAGCGGCGAGTGGTCCCAGCTGCTTCTTGCGTTGCCTCTCTCATGCCTCTCTCTCTCTGCATGGGCCAAACATGATGGAAGTGAGACTACATTAAGCCACAATGCCATTGGCCAGGACCTTTCAGCAGATTCAGTGGAGCTGTAGGACTGGCTTCAGCGGTAGCGTGTGGTTAGCTAAGTTGGGGGTTATAGCGAGTCCTTCACAGATTGGTGGTTCGCCTGCTCAAGCACACCCGCTAAACCTTGCAATTAACAGATGAGTGTAATAACGTGTGTTTGAGCAGGTTAATTACCGAACTATGCTGGACACCGGCGCCCTAGGACCACAGTTGTGCATCTACTCCTGATCTACAGGCTTCATTTTATTCTGAATAACCTTTACACTGCCCACGTCCATTGTTTTTCTTCATTGTTTGTCCTGCAAGATCGCAGACTTTAACCAAAATGAGCGTCTTGAAGACACTGAAAATGGGCTGTGAAATATCATCTTTGGTCCTCCGTTCTAAAAGAGCAGGTTGGACAAAGTGTTTCTGTCTGAGGATGATTTACATTGACGTGCTCGTTCATCTCCACCTGCAAGGTACAGCATTTTATAAGTAAGCTTGAACTGAACTACGGATGTGGTTCAGTACTTTCTGGGTAATGTAGGCTCATTCCTATAAACAAGCTGATATCGGCAAAGGATGTGTGATTGGCAAATGATTCACTACACAGTTTTCTGGCCCAGTTTTTTCATGTTGTACTTCAGTGTTTTTCCAAGACAGAAGTCTGAATTTCCTGACTTGATTTAAAAGTTTGCCTTTTGTTAGAAATGTCAGGGTGGAGGACGTTTAAGGGTAATTTAGATTTTCTGGATTGCACTTGGATCGAGTGTTACAAATAATTTATTAGTAGTAATATTATTTCAGTTTTAATGCATACACTTTTCTTATTCTTACTTCTTAATAAAGTACAAAAGTCATTTTATTAGTTACAAAATGAATAAAGATGATGAGCTTCCAAATTAATATTACATCAAGGCGTTGATACTATGTGAAATGATGGTTCTTCAAGGTTTCTTTAGTAAAGAAAATTGTTCTATATATAACTATGAACACTCACTTTATATGATTAAAGGGTTCTTTGCATCATAAAAGAGTTCTTCAGATTGATGGAGAATGTGCTGTAGATGGTTCTGTATAGAACCTTTTGGAAAAGGGATCTATATAGCACCAAAAAGGGTTACGATGTCAGGCTTTTTGCTATAGAAGAACCCTTTTCATAAAGGTTCTATATAGAACCATCTACAGCACATTCTTCATCAATCTGAAGAAACCTTTCCTCATGCAAAGGGTTCTCTGTGTGCTTATGGTTCAATGTAGAACAATTTTCTTTACAAAAAACCCTTGAAGAACCATCTTTTTTAAGTGTGTATGTTTAAGTGTGTCTACACTCAATATGGTTTGTTAAGGGTTCTTTGTAAAGGGAATGTTGCTATATAGAACAATTTCATGAACTGCATGGAAAAAAAAGGTTGTATATGGTTCTACATAGAACCTTTTTGACAATTGTTCTGTATAGCACCATATACAACACATTCTCCATCAATCCGAAGAACCACCTCACCATGCAAAAGCATGCAGTGGTTCTACATAGAATAGAAAACAGAACCATTCCTTTACTAAAGAGGCCTTGAAGAACCGTCTTTGAGTGTAGTGGAGGATGTTTTGCAGAATGCGTCTCCCGTTAATGACGGTGTTGTGGTCGTGCAGACGGACGGTATTGGCTGGTTGCTTCGATGATTGACAGGTGCATCATCCAATCTGGTAATGGATACTAGTGCCCGCCCCCACAAACATGGCGAGGCTCAGTCTGTAGGCTGTGGTGGGATAGTAAAGTTCCTGGGAAATGTGGGTACCAGCTGACCTACATGTCATGGTGTTTCAGCAGCAGGGCTGAGAAGGCGCCTGTATATTAATCAGTCGCTCAGTAACGGTCTGACTGCAGCAGCTCCATCATGGTCCGTGAGTGTTTTGTCAAAACGTGCTGTAATAAACAAAAGACTTGGTCGGCTACGATGTTTCACCGCCTTCCGCTGAGGGACGAGAAGCGGCTGAAGCTGTGGCTCACCGCCCTCGGGGTGGACACCAGCACTCCGGTGGAGAAGCTCAAAGGGAAGGTGATCTGCGAGGAGCATTTCCAGCCCTGTGATTACTACGAGAAGATGGAGCTGGCGACCCGGACTATGAGGCGTTTTCTGAGGGACACGGCGGTGCCGTCAGTCGGGGTTGTCAAGCCTCCTGAACGAACTGGGGTAAGTTAAGTGGTTTTCAGCTCCAGTCCTGGGGACCCACAGCCCTATGACCTGCCCTCTGCCCACCTGATTCAGCTCATGAAGAGCTTCTTGATTACCTGGTGAGCTGGATCAGGTGTGGTGGGCCGGTATGTCCCCAGGATTGGGGTTCACTTTTGCTCAGTGGTCACCCACCCTGCTCCTGGAGATCTACCTGCCTGCAGTCTTTAGCTCCAGCACTGATAAACCCCACCTGATCCATCTAATGAATTCCCTCCAGAAGTCCTTAGCTGCGTCCAGGGGCTTCACTAGTGATTTAAGGATGAGGGGGCTGATACTTTACTAGGGGGATCTGGGTGCCCCCAGGAGATGTTTATAGTAGTAATGGTCAGAAAGTGTATCATAAAATATGAGTATTTGGTGAAGCTGATCTCTGTCTCTTTAGGTAGAATTAGGATCTAATATGACTTAAATGCTGTACATCCATTTACAACAGGCAGAGATCAAGCAACAGTACTGAAGTCAAGCCATCCTGTCAATTAGATAAGAAACCTACACTTTCTAAAAAAGATGGTCCTTAAAGGGTTCTTGAGTAAAGAAAATGGTTCCATATATAACCATGAACACTCAAAGAACCATTTGCATGTTTAAATGGTTCTCTGCATGATGAAGTGGTTCTTCAGATTGATCGAGAATGTGTTGTATATGATTTTTGAAAATGGTTCTGTATAGCACCAAAAAGAGTTCTTCTGTTGTTACAATGTGAAGCTTCACATTTAAAAAAGAGGGTTCTTTGAGGGTTCTTCAGTAAAGAAAATAGTTCTATGTAGAACCATGAACACTCAAAGAATCCTTTGCATGATTAAATAGTTCTTTGCAACATGAAAGAGTTCTTCAGATTTGATGTAGAATGTGCTGTTGATGGTTCTACATAGAACCTTTTTGGAAAAGGTTCTACATAGCACCCAAAAGGGTTCTTCTGTTGTTACGATGGCAAGCTTATAACCCTTTTTAAAAAGGTCCTGTATACAACCTTCAAAAACATTATATGTACAGCACATCTGAAGAACGGTTTCATAATGCAAAGAACCCTTTAATCATGCAAGGGTTCTTTGAGTGTTCATGGTTCTGTATATAACCATTTTCTTTACTAAAGAACCCTCGAAGAGCCATCTTTTTTAAGAGTGTTGTAACAACGGAACCTTTTGGTTTTTCAGAAACCTTATACAACACATTCTCCATCAATCTGAAGAACAATTTTACCATGCAGAGAACTATTATAGCATGAAATAGTCTTATGTAGAAGTCATAGCCCTAAATAGAACCATTCCCTTGAAGAACCATCTTTTTAAAGAGTGCACATTATACTATCAGAGCTGACATACATCAGCTGCATTACAGACAAGGTCAGAAAGTCACTCTCATTGATGTGCATTTCCCTGGTGCATCACATCCACGAGGGTTCTAGATCCTGAGTGGGCTCTTGTCTGCACTGCATCCTCTTCACCAGCAGATGTCGCTCACACGCCCTGTTCTATATAACATCAAAAGGGGGTTTTTCTTTTGTAAAGAGCTTGATATTGTAGCAATTGAAGAACCTCTTTGGTGCTAAATAGAACCCTTTTCAAAAAGGTTCTATATAGTCTGAAGAATGCAAATCATGCAAAGTGTTCTTTGAGTGTTCATGGTCCTATGTAGAAACATTTTCTTTACTAAAGAACCCTTGAAGAACCATCTTTGAGTGTAGTTCTAAATAGAACCATTGACTTTACTAAATAACTCTCGACCCGTGAAGAACTGTATTACCTCCGCCTCGCTGCTCTGAGGGTCACAGCGCGACGGAACAGCTGAAGACTTCAGTGTGTTATTTAATGACAGTTTCCTGTAATCCTCCGGTAAGAAGTGATCACTGCACACCCGCAGGTTCTTCACACTGTCTCTGTTTATGTTCTCTGAGGCCAGTCGGTGCTTTATGACTGAGAGCCACAGTCTGCAGATGTTCAGATCGTTAGGGAACCTGTGGAAGCGCTTTGACGCAGCAGTGATTGACCATCTTCACAGGTTAGTCTGAGGGCAGCGTCTGCTGCTCCGTTACAAAGTGCATAGCAGCCAGCTAGTTCAGCCTGCCTGCCTGCTGTGGACCACAGGAATGGGAACATATCCGGTCTGTTTCTGACGCGCTATTGGAGGGACTTGAACCAGAGCCACCAGTCAGTGATTCCGGGAGGATCCACCAAACAGTTTGGGTGGCTGGTCGCCTGATTAACTGCGTTTTATAAGGGGGTTTTATCAACAGTAAAATACAGATTCTTGTAGTAGACCTTAAAATATTACATGAATACTTAAAATATTCCAAATGTAAATGTCCCCAGGAGCTCTGTCTTTTAAACCTACCTATTTTCTTAAACTAGACGCCTGTCATCCTTTCTTTGCTGCAAGTTTGTTAACAGTTGAGCTGGTTAGCTGACATTAGGTGTTTATATTCATTAAACTGCAGCTGAAATGCATTTTGGTGATATGACTGGTGTGGAATTGTGTAGAACTGAGGTGTAACCGTTGTCTGATAGACTGTTATTGTGGTAGTCAGAGCACATTGCATTGCAGTGCATGTTGGGGAGTGTAGTGCAGGGCATTGTGAAATGGGCTAATATTAATAGGAAATTAAAATACTTTTGTGGGCCAGATAGGATTGTGTGGCGGGCCTGATCCGGCCCGCGGGCCTTGTGTTTGACGCATGGGCTCTAGATCTTCATACATTCAACATACCTGTTGGAAAAAAAAAACTCATATCTCCATATGATATAAAAATGCCAGCTACCCCTTACATTGTGTGACAGTTTTTTGTGATGAGTGGACCAATAGAAATGCCCCAAAATCTCATGTAACGTTACCATTTTGGAGATACAAGTTTTGTTGCATATACCAGGCATCAGACTGGAGATACTGGTTTAAGCGAAACCGTGAAGGTAGCATACATCTTGCATAGAGGCTCGATACAGTATCTCTTTGTAACTTATCAGTCTCCGCTGACATTATGACTTGTATCTCCCCTCACAGGTCCAGGACTGTAGCCCCAAGGATGAGCCAAGTCCAGCCCTTAGACTCGCCGATCAACAGCATTCAACATCATCATCATCCTCATCATCCTGTACCATCTTGGCTCCGAGGACGAGGAGTGAAGGGAGACGTCAGAAGGTGGTTCATATTTTGATGTTTTGGACATGGCGCTGAGTTCAGTAAATTTGAAGATAGTAAGTCCAGTTTTAGGGAACAGATTCGTTGATGAATGAAGTTTCAACTCCAGATTTTGCTGAAGTACAGATGACACCACACGCAAAGACCACTGCACTTTTTATCATTCAAACAGTGTGCAATACCTAATATAATTCTTGATTTTAAAGGTGTTTTCCGAAAAAGAAAATACACCTACTCCACTCTCAACATGTTCCGAGGTGGAAGAGAAATCGTGGCGTAAAGGTAGGGAGAAATAAAACTGGTTATCAGTGTCTTACCAGCAGCAGAGCAGGCAGGCAGGCAGGCATCCATACACCGATCAGGCATAACATTACCACATGGCCTCCTCCTTGTTTCTACGCTCATTGTCCATTTTATCAGCTCCACTTACTATATAGGTGCACTTTGTAGTTCTACAGTTACAGACTGTAGTCCATCTGTTTCTCTGCATACTTTGTTAGCCCCCTTTTACCCTGTTCTTCAGTGGTCAGGACCCACATGGAACCTCGCAGAGCAGGTACTATTTGGGTGGTGGATCATTCTTAGCACTGCGGTAACACTGATGTGGTGGTGGTGGTGGTGTGTTGGTGTGTGTTGTGCTGGTACGAGTGGATCAGACACAGCAGTGCTGCTGGAGTTTTTAAACACTGTGTCCACTCACTGTCCACTCTATTAGACACTCCTACCTTGTCAGTCCACCTTGTAGATGTAAAGTCAGAGACGATAGCTCATCTGCTGCTGCACAGTTTGTGTTGGTCGTCCTCTAGTCCTTCATCAGTGGTCTCAGGACGCTGCCCACTGGACGCTGTTGGCTGGATATTTTTGGTTGGTGGACTATTCTCAGTCCAGCAGAGACACTGTTTATACAGGTTAAATGGGGGCTAACAAAGTATGCAGAGAAACAGATGGACTACAGTCTGTAACTGTAGAACTACAAATTGCTCCTATATAGTAAGTGGAGCTGATAAAATGGACAATGAGTGTAGAAACAAGGAGGTGGTCATAATGTTATGCCTGATCAGTATAGGCTGTTGTAATGGAAGAATTTTCTGTCAAGTCCTTGCTATACTGGGGCAAAACACCCTGAACCTTGTCTACAGCAATCTCTGAACACTAACCACAGGTATTTCATTTGATTTGAACCGTGATGGAGGCGCATGGATAGTGTACAATCCATGTGCTCCACCTGTAAAGGAGGAATGCTCTAGGCGAGTGATTCTCCATCTTGCCTCAGGACCCACTTATGTCTTTCGCCACTAAGTCAGACCCAAAAACAGTTTAACTTTCTCACTCTTCTTGTTTATTTCTGAACACTAACAGTGCAGTAATAGGTTATATGCACAAAACAGTGTTTTCTTGGGTCCTTCTGTCCTCTAAGAAACATTTTAATACATTTGCATCAGTTTGTATTTTGGTTTTGAGACCATGCTAAGAGAAGCAAGCTACCTACCTGCTGTGTGTACACAAGAATGATTATTATTAGGCTAATTTGATTTTGATGGCAGGCCAAATTTAAGGCCTGCATTCTTAGGCTACCAAGGACAAATGTATAAAAGTTGTAGGTGGGAAAGCCCAGACGCCTTTCAAAATAAAAGAGCGCTGTCAAAAGTTATTGTAAGAGAGAAAAAGTTTGAAATGTTTGTGGAGAAGAGGCGAGTAGAGGTTGTGTTGTGCTACAGCCCACCAATTCTGCTGTTTCTGTCAACAAATTAAAGACTTTTTACGAGTCTTTATGGTGAATGTAATGTTTTTTTGTTTTTTTTTACATACACAGAGTATTATCAATACTGTGAGCATTCAGACTGCTGCTAACACTGTGTTGGTGGATCACTGTGTACCATGTTAGCACAGTCAGACTGTTTTGTTATACTAGTATTTTGGTGAAACGTTCAACCACAAGTTCAGTTCTGCCATGTATTTATGAGCCTGGAATGAACATGGTTCAATTTTCTTCCACAGCTGTCAAGAGCCTTCAGACGTATCATGGAACTAACATTTTTAAGTAAGACATTCACTTCACTGTTCCTTTTTTCCTTACTTTCCATGAGACTGCAGTACTGCTTGTGTTGTACATCAGCATACTGAAACTTACATTTTACCATTTGTCATACTGATTCACATGCATTCCACATACATAAATGGCAAATAAAGTCTGGTTATGAACAATAATATCTCCTATTTCGCCTCATTTTCAGGTGTAATGAGGTGTTGGTGAACACAGAGTGTTTGCTGGAGCTCTTCCAGTACTGCTCACTCTGTCAGATAGAGAGCTGCATTACCATTGAGGGCAATGAAAGGCAGTTTTCAATTACCCAGGACTGCCAGAGCTGTGGTCACCACAGACAGTGGAGGAGTCACCCCACTCCTGCTGACGAACCTGCGGAGGCCTTAAATGCGCAGCACAAAGACTCTGAGGGTGCAGCTTCATGCCCAGAGGCGGAACACACACTAGAGCCTGGGGACGGGGATAGCAAGGAGGTATGTGTTTAAGCACTGAGGCTATAAGTCATCAGTATTATGAATATCAATATGCATGAGTTAACTATAAGCATATGTTCTTATTTCTTTGTTATCTGTTATCATTAATATGTTAAAGAACCATCACATTCATGTGTTCTTTTGTTCTCTGTCTCTACATTCCTGACATTTCTGGCTAAACCCCCTCTGCTTAAGCTAAACGCCCTGTAAGATGAAGCCAAAGCTGGTCATAAAACTTTTCCAGGCCCCTGATTGGATATAAGTACAGCCAGCAGGGTACACTGTGCAGCACTATTACACAGTAAAAATGTTCTTTGTTCTTTCTCTCTTATCTGAACCTTCACTGTTCTCTGTACTCATGCAGCACTTGTACTCTTCTGGTGGGAAAGAACCTTCTTTAAACTAAAGTCTTCCCAGTTGAGTTCATTCAGTTGTCATCAGTGTGACCAGGGACTTAAATGTACTTGTATGTATTTTATGTAGCTGGGAGTTTTATATTGAAGTTCAGCCTGAGTAGCTATGTCTGGACAGCGTTCAGGTCCCTGTACAGTTGAGCTACAACATGTTACAGGAATACAAGGCAAACTCCTGTCTCATCATATTACCATGTTTGTTTACAGTCCCTTACATTTTAGGTATTAAACAGATAAATGTGTGGTACAAAATACTGGATAATTATTTTTGGTTAATGTGATGGTAAATTCCAGGGCAGTCTAACTAAACTCACTGTAATGTAACAGCTTCTAGCTATTAACTGGATGAGTATGTGGCACAAACTCCACAATATGTGCAGTAAGGCACCAGGTACGTACGTGATGTAAAACAACAGCACCAATGAAGTTCAAGTCTTATATAGTATGTACCTGTTCATTAAATGAATCAGAATCTGGCCTGTAAAAGAGAGTGATTCTTACTGTACTTTCACGGCTCCTTGCCTTTTATGTCAGAAAACTATCTTTGTAATTTTTACTGTCATTTCACACAATTTACCTGGTACTTTGAGGCGTTTCCCTTTTACTTTCCTACATAAACATGTGACTTTAATGTAAAATGTAGTATTTAACTACATCTTTATCACCTTATCAGTCTTGATACTTATCATTTTCCTCAAAATAATTACCTAGCACTTTGGTGATTGTACCCGACACATAGTCAGTCATTATGTAGAACCTGTTTGACATTTCGGGTGTAATTTGGTTAAACTGTCTTGGAACTCGCCATGATGTTACTCGAATGAATTATCTCATACTTTGGTGTTTGTACCTCACATTTACCTGGTCAATACCTAGAACTGTGAAAGAAAGCGTGGAATGCTTATTGACAGCCTTTACAAATATTAACATGTAAACCCTTCTTCACTTGTTCCTGTTACCCCACTTTCCTTATCAAAGGCTTTCTATATCCCGCAGGTTGTGGTTCAGATTGTGTCTTCAGATAACGAGGGCACTGGACAGAACAGTGAGCAGATGTTCATCGAAAAAGAGGGGTCGTATTTATCGAGCACTGAAGACGAATCAAGCGAGCAGGAAGAAGTGGAGAAAAAGAAAAAAGGAAAGAGGAAGTCTAAGAAGCAGGACAGTTCGGATGAGTGGGAACCACATTTGGACGAAGCGGCCGCAGACTCCGATGTATCCGTGGATGAAGACAGCACTTTAATAGAGGATGGTCAAGGTAAGGTTGTGATGTGGTGCACAGTCTGCAGGACTGACGCTACGCTCTCCTGTTCCCTCCATCGCCACAAAAAAGTGTTCGCCTGTGCCCAGTGCGGCGCTGGTGACGACGTCGAGACCCATCATTTTGATAAACTACTTGTTCACTTTGATGACTTTGCCAGCTTTCAGAAACATGCTGAAAAGGAGCATGGAGCCAAACCATTTCGCAAGCTCTGCCAGGAATGTGGCAAGCTTATTTTAGCAGAACCCAAATCCAGCGGTAGTAAAGATCATATATGTGAACACAAGACCAAACCTATCGTCTGTCCAGAGTGTGGGAAAAGATTCCTTACCGAAGTTGGCCTAAAGAGACATTTCAGTAAGCTCCATAAGGACGCTGACCACCCGTGCAAATACTGTTTGAAGCTCTTCACGAACAGGCCATCAAAGCTGGAGCATGAGCAGACCCATCCGAAGGAGAAACAGCCATACAGCTGTCCAGACTGTCCAGAAAAGTTCGACAACATTTACAAACGCAACACCCACCTCAAGCTCCATAGAGGTCCATGTAAGTATGCCTGTGACACTTGTGGGAAGCGCTTCAGGGACATTATCAAGCTGAAGAGACATAAACTCATTCACTCTGGAGAAAAGCCCTTCAGGTGCCAGGTGTGCGATCGTTCCTTCAACCAAATTGGAAATCTCAGCTCCCACATGCGTCTCCACACCGGGGAGAAGCCCTTCATGTGTGAGCAGTGTGGAGAGTGTTTCAATCACAACGTCAGCCTGAAGAACCACCTGATGCGATATCATTATTCTGGAGATAAACAGTGCCAAAGTGATGCGGAGAACAGGGCACTGAATAGAGGTGGATGTTGAACTTTGGATAAAGTATAGCACCTTTATCAGGATGCACTCAGCAGAACAATAGACAATTCAGCTACTATGAGGTTTTTTCCATCTCATCTTTGAGTTATCTGTAATTTTAACACTGGCTCTTGACTGAATCAATAGCGAGGGAGCCATACTCTTTAAAGAGACTGAATGTGCCATACCATGAAACAAAACACTCAACACTCCACTACATCCAATCAAACCAGACTAAGTATGGTCTTTTAGTAATGAAACATGCAGTTTGTCAGTCTTCTTTATGTACTGATGACGTCCATTATATGCTCAAAGTGTATTGTGGTGTAGTTGCCTACCCCTAGTCACTGGTGTGAGTGATTCCATGCTCATTCACAAGATGACAGTATAGAATGTTTTGACACTACTTTATCACACGTCTTGGAACTGTAACTTATTTTAAAGCTCTTTGAGCATCTTCAGGCTGTGTGACTGCAATTAATTCCCCACTCCAGGTTGGCTTAATCATGCATGTAAAGAATAAATGATGCTGGAAAAGCATAAATTGGCCCAAATTTCAACTTAACCCCTTCATCTTAAAAAATGTGTAACGCCTTTCACGTCGCTACGCAACAGTTCTCGAATTTGTGAGTATTGAAAAATGCCGGTGTGTTCTGTAGATTGTTGTAAAATCTATGGTATTTTTTTGTTTTATCAATTGATTGTACCCAGGCTTTATCGTATGGATTGTGAGATGCAGATAAAATTTGCATGCAGATAAAAATCTGTCTGAACCACCAAATTGTAAAAGATTTATCCAAACCTATTTAAGAACAAATGGTTATGTTTGCTTATGCAGCCCCCAATATGTACATTTAAATGACTCCAGGTGGTTGAAATGAAGGAATTAAGGCCACACACTGTTTCTTCTGGCAACTTTAAGGCCTTTAGACAGTTTGTGAGAATGTTTTTTTTGTGCTTATATGCAACAGTTCACCATCTAAGCACATTATTCTTAATCATTTTCATTAAAATTGTTAACTCTTTTTTAACATGTACATTCATTTACCACTGTGAGTGAAAGCAGTTAGATTATGTACAAGCAGTTTTTTTCAAGGCCACATTGCTCTCTACACATGATTCATCTAGGCTTCCTTAATGAGATTGTTTTGAGCTGTTTAAAGGAGGCTGGGATAAATGTGTCCTAGTACATTTAACATTAGTTAACATCTGATTTATCATTAACAATGAGCATAAGTTTACACTGAATTGGCAATTTGGTATTTACATAATTCTCAGGATTTCCATGTCTGAGTTTCGGAGCTGATATAAGCATCGTTTAGCAATTCATATTTGCTCTCGGACTTAATGTTTTCCATCAGTTTTGAAGTATTTCATGGAACCACCAATGGCCAAGCTTTTGACTTTGGAGGAAAGGGTGTACAGTACATTGTATACAGCTTTACAGTATACAGTCCACTATGAGTTCGGGTTTCATCTTGTCTGCCATATCTGTAGTCTCACTGGGCCAGGTGTGATCTTATAATGAGGACAACCATGAGACATTTTGGGCTAAATGTTGGTGGGCGCGTAGACTTATTAGGTGGGAACAAACTGAATGTGAAATTTCTAAACCAGTCCAACTCCATGTGAAGGCAGAGCCCCAAGTCCAATGGCGTGCTCATCAATATTGTCCAACGGACAACAACCCTGTTGTTAGGCTATTGATGTAACACAAGTTAGCATGGCTGAAAAATCCCTCCATGCAGAAGAAGTGTGTGTGTGTGAGTGTGTGAAGAAGACAGGGCATGTTAAAAATATTGTTTTTTTTTAATGTGCTTGTTTATGGAAATGTATAAAACTTGTCCCCAGACATGCATTGGAAGATCATGGTTGGCCCTGCAAGACTACCATATATGCTGAATTACAGTCCAGTTGATTGTGATTGGAATTGATGTGATTTATCCCAGCTGTGATCAACAACTTCAGTCATTCTTTTATTTATGTTTTGTCTTGTCAAGAAAAAAATCAGTTTCAAAACTGTCCTTTGTCATTTTATTGTGTTTATCAGTAAACTGTCTTAACAGGAATTAGAAATTTGTTTTTTACTCCGGACTTTGATGCATTACAGTTTTGAAAAGTGGTATTTTTCTTTAATCTGAAATATATATTAACCAAAAACACTTCACTCAAAATGAGGTAAGGAGAGAAACATTATGCACATCACATGACTGCTGACCTCACATTTAGCTGCCTAGATATTATTACAACTGACAGCATAACCACAGCAGGTAAAGGCTAATGAACCACAGGCCTTTTAACATTTAGAAGTAGGTGTCTGGGGCGAAAGGCTGAAGACTGTCTTTTTCTCATCTTTTCTGCAGTAAAACTTTTTCTTCACCACAGTCAGCTTTGTTATTATTTACTATTAAGTGCCGTTAAGTCAGCGCTGACTCCTGGTTACCATATGGATAGTGTTGAATACTTGAATTAATAATGTACATTTATTTTGGGGGAGGGCTAAGGAACATTTAGAAGGGGCCTATTGAAACCCTGGCTGAGATACATTTAAAATACAGTGTTTTATTATTCCAAACATGTAGATTGTGAAAAAGAAAAAAAAATATGCATTTAAATACATTCCACACATATGAATATTCCAAATGGAAGATCTTTTGTCCCTGATGGGCAATTTTGAGGCAGCAGCACATAAAATGAATGCATTTTCCTCATATTATTTAAACACATCTACTATCATGTTTAATCAGTGACAGTCACAAATGATGATCACCACAGTTCAACACTGATTCCATGTCTTGTTTTCAACGATTAAGAATTCAACCGATGGCAACGTTGACTTGTAGTTGATTTTACATCATCAATCAAAACAGACTAAAATGCCAGAATTTTAGCGCTGATGCAGCATTACTTTGTTATTTGAGTCATAAATCATAATGTGTTCTTAATTACTGTTGTAGTTTTGATTCTGCCAAATCTCCTTTCCTATGTCTTTGATTTTTGGAGTCGAGAAACGAGAAAATTGTTGAGTGGAAGTGACCCTTAGAATCGACTCCATCGATTCCTATCACTTCGAATCGGAATCGATGTAGACTCCAAAACTTCTGGACTCGAACAGCAACAGGTTTCTGTTGGTTCCTGATGGCGTCCAGTAGTCCTTAACGGTATTCTGTGTTTGTCCTGATGGGTTGATATCACAGCGTAAAGGAATCTAATGGTTTAATAGGTGTTCTGGGACTGAATTTGATGGTTTCCCAATCGGATCTAAATGTGTCCTCTAGGAAACTAGTGGTATCTACTAACCATTAAGGCAATTCCAATTCATTAGAAAGCCATCAGGTTTTAATCCTGGTCTGTTTTTCCAGCAGGCTACTCTTAAAAAAGATGGTTCTTCAAGGGTTCTTTAGTAAAGACAGTGGTTCTATATATGAAAACTCAAATATCTGCATGCTTAAATGGTTCTTTGCTTGGTGAAATGGTTCTTTAGATTGACGGAGAATGTGCTGTGTCTGGTTCTATATCGAACCTATTTGAAAATGGTTCTTTACAGCACCAAAAAGGGTTCTTCTATTGTTAAAAGCTTGACAAAACCCTTTTAGGTGCTGTAAAGAACCATATACAGCCCATACTCCATCAATCAAGAACCATTTCACCATGCCAAGAGCCATTTAAGCATGCAGGGGTTCTATACAGAACTCGTAGTTCTAAACAGGATCATTCCTTTTACTAAAGAACCCTTGAAGAACCACCTTTTGTAAGAGTGCAGTACTGAGTCATGAAAACGAACCGGATGAACTGGCCGTTCGATTCATTGAATCGAGCAGTTCGAAAGAATCGGTTCATTAAAATGAATTGACACCCCCCTTCACTAACACAGCACGGGCAGCGAGTCCTCGAGGCAGCTGCCTTCAGTTTGGGACACAGCCCATGTCTGTGTGTGGAACACTTCGGACACATTTCCGGTTCAAAGGAACGATTCGTTGGCGAATCAGAGCTCGCCAGTGAAGCAGTGGAGCTGCGCTGAGTTAACTGGATACAGAGCAGTTAGTTTCAGACGCTGCCCTCAGACTAACCTCTGAAGATGGTCAATCACTGCTGCGTCTCTGGATGCAGAAGCGAAGCCAAGCGCACCACTAAGCGCTTCCACAGGTTCCCTAAAGACCTGAACATCTGCAGACTGTGGCTCTCAGTCATAAAGCACCGACTGGCCTCAGAGAACATAAACAGAGACAGTGTGAAGAACCTGCGGGTGTGCAGTGATCACTTCTTACCGGAGGATTACAGAGAGAGATCCTTAAATAACTCGCTCAACGCTTCAGCTGTGCCTTCGGTTTTCTCATGGAATCTACCTCGAAGAAGCGACACCGAGGTGAGCTGCCTGCTACAACTGTGCTACAGTGTAGACCTTATTATTGTGATGAAGTCAGCTTCTTATTCGAATTTCCCCGTTCCACCTTAAATGGTGCATCAGTTATTATTGTAACGCCTGAGGCGCCAGAATGTAACTGCTGCACCATTTAAGGTGGAACGGGAAAATTCGAATAGGAAGCCAACTTTAGCCTCGTATTACTGTGCCCAGTAAGGTCCTCTTAGAATCCACAACAGTCTCCAAAATAACCAAGTCTGTCTGAAATCACTGCATGTCTCAACAGGGTTTGGGGCAACAACTGAGGTGAGCAGTCTTGCACAGTGCTAATTGGCTAATTGGTGGGGCCTTGACTTCCATTGCTTGTTAGCCTCACAGCTCCAGTGCAAAACCAAAGAAGCAAATTTCAGATACCAAACATGTATTGGCTGATTGATTACTTTCCGGGTAAGAGAGGTAAAGATGATGTTCAAACCTACAGCCATTCATTGATTGTATCAGTATTTCCTAACCCTGGTGCTGGAGGCCCACTGTCCTGCATTTTTAGTGCTTTTCTTGGTTTAACACACCCATTTTAACTCGATTAGTGTGTTTACATGCACCTAATAATCCAATAACTGCAGAAAATCAGATTTTGTGAGTAATCTGATCAACGCGTTTACATGCACTTGAGTAATCAGATAATGCGGAAAAAAAGCCTGGCAGTAATTGGATTTCTGCTTTGCAACCAGCCAGTAAACTCACAGAAGACGACGTGACGTAAACGTAATGTAAAACTTCATGCAGTCTTTTTTTTTTAAACATTGCGCCACTTTACCTGAAAATATGAACATTCATCTTGTAGAAGATGAAGAATATTTAAATCCTTCATTTCTTCAAGCATGTAGTCGGTTTCAGCATTGCACTTAAAGTGTTTTGCTGCCATCTTGCCGCAACGCTGTTTGCTTATTTCCGGTACCGCCGTCTGTTTTGCACATGCGCAGACTGAGAAGTCTGATTACTGAGCTAAAATCCAGCTCTTAGGATTTCTAGACCTTACTCCGATCTAAGAAATTGGAGTATGGTGTCTACATGACCATTTGAATAATCAGTAACTGCAGAAATCCGATTATGATCGAAATACAGAGTGCATGCACTCAATGATCCGTTAACTGCAGAAAATCAGATTTTGTCAGTAATCCGATCAACATGTTTACATGCACTTGAGTAATCAGATAATGAGGAAACTCTGGGTCTACATTAGTCAATAATCAGATTTCTGCTTTGCAACCAGCCAGTAAACTCACAGAAGAAGATGTGATGTAAACGTAACGTAAAACTCAAACTTCATGCTGCGGCTTTTTTTTTTAAACATTGCGCCACTTTACCTAAAAATATGAACATTCATCATCTAGAAGATGAAGAATATTTAAATCCTTTATTTCGTTTTTGGTTTCATCGCCGCTCCAAAAGTGTTTTGCTGCGTCTCGCGACATCCAATGTCTGTTTTCGCACATGCGCAGACTGAGAAATCCGAAAGAAATCAGAGTAAGAGCTTACATGAACTAAGAAATCTGATTACTGAGCTAAAATCCAGCCTCTTTATCAGATTTCTTAATCGGATTTCTAGATCAGAGTATGGTGTTTACATGACCATTCGAATAATCGGATAACTGCAGAAATCTGATTATGATCGGATTATTGAGTGCATGTATACTCACTCAATGATGGGTTGTTAATGAGCTGATTAGTTGGATCAGGTGTGTTGGGAGCAGGAAAAACACTAAGAAGTGCAGGACCAGGATTGAAAAACACTGGATTAGATAACCCAGCTAGAAAAATCTGTATAGACTAACATGGCTGATGACCAGCAAAACCAGCACATGTTGTGTTTGGATGCTGGCATGCTGGTCACCTGGCATGAACGTCCTGGGTGACCAGCTAAACCAACACCAGACCAGCATAGACCAGAAAAGTCTGTGCTGTTTTTTTAGCAGGAGATAAAAACAAAACAAACAAACAAATAAATGCATACATGCCTTGTAAAAGATAGTTGCAGCACACCTAATAGACACTGATGGCATGTATTTAGTACAGTGAGGGAACATGGCAGCATTTAGTTATCAGTTTAACTTGGTGTTCTTTTAAATGCCTGAATTAACTTTGTCCATCATATGTCATGGTTGTCCACACTTAAAGAGGACCCAGATTGGACAGTAATAGAAAAGCTGAGTCACTCTTGCTCTAAATATACAAAATATTACATATTTAAAATAGTAAAAAAGAGAAAATGTATATATGATTTCCATGTCTCTTTTATTTCCATCTGTTGTTGATCCTGACTGTAGTCATGACTAAATGCCATTCAGTTAAGTCTGTTCACAGAAAAAGGCTCTTTTAGTTTAACTAAAGTTGTTAACATGGTGTGGTGTATCATACTGTAAGTTTACAGTACTGCTGCCACTATATAGGGGAAGGAAATATTGCGATGCTTTGGCTGATGGGCCAATCATGCATTCTAGGAGAGAAGCCACAGGCCACTTTAACACTTTTGGGTCATTCTGCAGAAACGTCCACTTTTCTATCTCTCCATCGGTGTCACTGGTGTTACCAATCCTTATTGGTGTTACACATAAGAAAGGTAACACCAAAGACACTTTTAATGAAAAATGCATTTTACAAAACGTCTGCTACAGAGCATCAAACCACATGTCAATCATGGAATCTCGTAGATTCCATGATCTCATGTAGATTAATCCATTTGTATTCTATTTTTTCATTACCTGAGAATAAAGTAGGTCACACCAGTGACGTCAACTAAAAGCTTCATATGAAATCATGAGCTAAATGAGAAGATGTCTGATAACTGAAAGACAAAGTGGACTCACCATGTGCTTTTCCTCATAGGTCCTCAGAAAATAGGTAAAAGGAAGTCAAGTGATGTCATCAGTGTGGTTTTTATTTCAAAATAAGAGATTTTTTGTTACGCAGTAACACCAGTGACACGACTCCTGGGGACCTTTGAGTATATATTTTATAATATTTACCTGGCATTTGTTTTCTTTATATCATTTAAATCATATATTTTGTAGTCATGTATAGATTATTGTAGTTAAAATGGCCGAAATATTTACCTCAAAATATGGCCTCATCCTTCACACATGACTGTGAGGACGAGCTCTTCTGTGGTGCTTGGAATTCTATATAATTGATTTAAAAACCAATATTGCTAAATTGAGGCTCAAAAAGGTGTAATTGTTAAAATAACCTATGGTTTTATTTTGAAATATAAATAAATTGTAACCCTAACATGTTCAAGTGTAATATATCTGTAAACACTAGGGACACAAAAATGGACGTGTCTGTAGAATGACCCTTTTGCTTCGTACAGCTGCAATTTTAATCATTATGTAGCTCCTCTTTATTTTGTGTTAGAAAAGATACTTCAAAATACCTTAAAAAATTATTTATTTTACAGGTGTTTTCCAATAAAGAAGGTACGGCCTCAATGTGTTCAGAGGTGGAAGAGAAATCGTGGCGTAAAGGTAGGTAGAAATAAATTTGGTTGTCGGTGTCTTACAGTGGATATGAGTGCATTAATTGGCTGTTGTAAAAGAAAATTTTTGGACTGTAGTCCATCTGTTTCTCTGCATACTTTGTTAGCCCCCTTTTACCCTGTTCTTCAGTGGTCAGGACCCCATGGACCCTCACAGAGCAGGTACTATTTGGGTGGTGGATCATTCTCAGCACTGCAGTAACACTGATGTGGTGGTGGTGTGTTAGTGTGTGTTGTGCTGGTCTGAGTGGATCAGACACAGCAGTGCTGCTGGAGTTTTTAAACACCTCAGTGTCACTGCTGGACTGAGAATAGTCCACCAACCAAAAACATCCAGCCAGCAGCGTCCTGTGGGCAGCGTCCTGTGACCACTGATGAAGGACTAGAGGATGACCAACACAAACTGTGCAGCATCAGATGAGCTATCATCTCTGACTTTACATCTACAGGGTGAACCAACAACGCAGGTGCGTCTAATAGAGTGGACAGTGAGTGGACACCGTGTTTAAAAACTCCAGCAGCACTGCTGTGTCCGATCCACTTAGACCAGCGCAACACACACTAACACACCACCACCACGTCAGTGTTACTGCAGTGCTGATAATGATCCACCACCCAAATAGTACCTGCTCTGTGAGGGTCCATGGGGGCCCTGATCACTGAAGAACAGGGTAAAAGGGGGCTAACAAAGTATGCAGAGAAACAGATGGACTACAGTCTGTAATTGTAGAACTACAAAGTGCACCTATATAGTAAGTGGAGCTGATAAAATGGACAATGAGCGTAGAAACAAGGAGGTGGTCAGAATGTTATGCCTGATCGGTGTACAGTTGTCCAGGGCAGATCTAACAGGGAGCAAATTATGACAGTTGCCACATTTAAAGTCACTGAGCTCTTCTGTACGACTCATTCTACTTCTAAAGTTTCTTTATGGAGATGGCATGGCTATGTGCTATCCACCTGTTAGCAATGGGTGTAGCTGGAAAACCTGAACTCAATAATTAGGAAGTGTCCACATACTTTTGGCCACATAGTGTATACAACTAGATCTGGGCAGTTTCTCAAAATATAATGTTGTTATCATGTCGAAAGCATTTAGATAACTGTGAATAGCAGTAATAGCTGAGACTGCTGTTAACACTATGTAGCATGTTGGCCTCGTTAGCATTATGCAAATTACAACATTACAAGATTAAGCTGTTTCTGATGGGTAATGCTAGCACATCGAATAAACACAACACAACCACTGCAATATGATCTTCATCTTTCAACTGTGGATATGTGTTTGAATGAAATCATTTATTTGTCATCCACAGCTGTCAAGAGCCTTCAAACAAATCACGGAACTAGCATTTTCAAGTAAGTTACTGTTCCTTTTGTTCTTTTTTGACCAAAAATGTATGTTTTAGCATTGGTCACATGTGTTTACTACCATTTCCAAATATATTTTGGCATATTAAGTCTGGTTGTGAGCAATGCTATGTTTTATTTCTCCTCATTTTCAGGAGTAATGAGGTGCTGGTGAGCACACAGTGTTTGCTGGAGCTCTTCCAGTACTGCTCGCTCTGTCAGATAGAGAGCTGCATTACCATTGAGGGCCATGAGAAGCAGTTTTCAATTACCCAGGACTGCCAGAGCTGTGGCTATCACAGACAGTGGAGGAGTCACCCCACTCCCGCTGACGAACCTGCGGAGGCCTTAAATACGCAGCACAAAGACCCTGAGGAGGCCATCCATGAAGAACAAGAGGTTGAGGATGCAGAGACGGAACATACTCCTGAGCCTGGGGACGAGGATGCGGAGGAGGTGTGTATTTATGCGCTCACCTATCCTGCACATTGCATTATGAGCAGATTCAAAGTGAAAACCTTAAAAACATTTTTAAAAACATAAAAAAAATGCACATGTGTGGCTCAGCAGCATGACCAACAATGTTACTGTATGATAAAGTATGAGAAACCTGGAATTTGTTAGAAATTCACTGACAGTGTACGTGGATATAGTTAGCTTACATCTGACCAGTGATTACAAAGTAGAGACAAAGAATGGACATTTATAACAAGATATTACATTATTATTTGTACTCTATAGTACTATGCAAATGTACTGAATGTAATGAAGCATTTTTAAATGAAAATCCTTCATTAAAACATTTCAACAAAGTTTCAAGTAAAAATGATATCACATTTTTCAGTATTTACTGTGCCCATTCTTTCTCTTCCAGAAAAATGAATAACTTGTCCTTAATGGCTGTTTTTACTGGAAATTAAACAAATGAAGGGATTTTTACACAGTACTGTATTATTTCTCCTCCTGGACCACATGGAACCAGAACTACTGAAAGAACTTTGCATTACTATGAGTACCACCGTGAGCACTGGCCAAGGCCTTTGCAAGTAATGAGCAAGCTACCTGTTAATTGTAGGTTGCTGGCTATGAAACACACACAAACCAAAATGGTGGTAATGAGTGGAAAATGTACTTTACTATTTTCAAATATATGACCAGATATTTTAATTTTCTTTTTATGTTTTGTATCTGGGATCTTTATGTTTTGCCTGACTAGCTGTCTTTTGGATGCATTCATATCACGGCTCCACTGAGTTTAGAATTACAGCGTGTTTCTTCCTAGTTTGTCATATTTCTGTCGCAGAGCTTCCCCAATCAACTGTAACTGCTGCAAAATGATGCAAAATGTCTTACAGAATTGGAGGGCCAAGTGCTAAAACCTCTGAATCAATTAATAAAAAAGGTAAAAAACATCTATTCCTAGCTGCAGCACTAACTACTGAGTTCCAAACTGCGTCTTGAAGCAATTTCAGGAAGAACTGTTCATTGGGAAGTTGAATTGGGAAGTTACCATGCCTAAACTGCCGCACACAAGCCCAAGATCACTATGTGCGATGCCAAGCGATGGCTGGAGTGGTGTAAACTGCCATTGGACATTCAAACAATATAAATGCTTTCTCTAGAGTGATGACTCGCACTTTACTGTCTAGGAGTCTGACGGATGAATTTGGGCTTGGTGAATGCTGGAGAATGCTACATGCCCAGATGCATAGTGACAAATGTAAAAATTAAGGGTTAATATGGTTTGGGGATGTTTTTCATTGTTTGGGTCCCTAAGTTCCAGTGAAGGGAAATGTTCAGGCTACAGCCTACAATGATATTCTTCATAACTGTGTGCTTCAGACTTTGTTGCAACAGTTTAAAATAGGAATATATTCTGGTTTCAGCATGGCAGTGCCCTCATGCACAAAGTGAGGTACAAAATGAAATGGTCTGCTAAGTTTGGTGTGGAAGAACTTGACTGGCCATCACAGAACTCTGACTTTATCCTCACTGCACCTGGCAGTAATATTCAGATGCTCCTGAAAGCCTTCATTACCTGGATCAGGAGTGTTCGTTTGGGTTGGAGCTAAACTCTGCAGGGTGGTAGATCTCAAGGATCAGGATTGTGCACCCCTGTACTTGAGGCTGAATTGAAGCGAATCCCTGAAGCCTTTTTCCAGAATGCAGTGAAGCGCAGAAGAGTGGGGGCTGTTATAGCAGAACAGGGGGAACAAACTCCATATTAATGCACAGAGTTTTGGAATGAGATGTTCAACAAGCACATACGTGATGTTTGGGTGTCCATATCACTGCTGTCAGAAGAAAACCTTGTATCTTCATTTTTGTCATTTTTCAGTTTTTGACATAATCTGAAAATGCCTGTTTCCCTTTACATTGTCTGTAAATTACACAAAGAATGGACCAAAAGAAACAGCCCAAAATTACTTGGAAAAAATTCTGGTTCCATTGACTTACATTAAAAGTAAAGTAGGCTTTTTCCTTCTCCTGTAAAGTTATCATTTTGGAGATACAAGGTTTTCTTCCGACAACAGCGATATACTTTTGGCAATGTAATGTAGCAGCAAGATGAATACATTCTTTCACACTAGAATAAGTGGACTAATGAAAGGCTTTCTATTTCCTGCAGGTTGTGATTCAGATTGTGTCGTCGGATAACGAAGGCACCGAACAGAACTGTGAGCAGGTGTTGCTCGAAAAGAACGAATCATATTTATCAAGGGCTGAAGAGAAAACAAGTGAACGTGAAGCACCAGAGAAAAAGAAAAACGGAAAGAGAAAGTCTCAGAGAGAGGACCATTTGGATGAAGTGGCCGCAGACTCTGATATATCCAAAGATGAAGGTGTGTTCATTGTAGAAGAGGTGGAGAAAACAAACATGGAAAAGAGGGAGTCCAAGAGGCAGGAGAGATTGGATAAAGTGGATGCAGACTCTGATGGCTCCATGGATGAAGGTCTCTTTATTGTGGAAGAGATGGAGAAAAAGAATACTGGAAAGAAGGATTCTAGGAAGCAGGACAGTTTGGATGAAATGGCTGCAGACTCTGACTCTGTGATGTCCAAGGATGAAGGTTTCTTCATTGTGCACCAGGTGGAGAAAAGAAGCACAAGAAAGAGGAAGTGTAAGAGGCAGTACAACTTCAATGAAGTGGATGGAGACTCGGACGAATTCTTGGATGAAGATCTCTTCGTTGCGGAGGAGGAGGAGAAAAAGGAATCGGGAAAGAGGAAGTCTAAGAGGCAGGACAGTTCAGATGAGTGGGAACCACGTTTGGATGAGGTGGCAGCAGATTCTGATGTATCCATGGATGAAGATCTCTTTAACACGTTAACAGAGGATGGTCAGGGTAAAGTTGTAGTCTGGTGCACAGTCTGCAAGACTGACGCTACGCTCTCTTGTTCCCTCCATCGCCACAAAAAAGTGTTCGCCTGTGCCCAGTGCGGCGCTGGTGACGACGTCGAGACACATAGTTTTGAAAAACTAGCTTATCGCTTTAATAACTTTGCCAGCTTTCAGAAACATGCTGAAAAGGAACATGGAGCCAAACCACTTCACAAAGTCTGTCAGGAATGTGGCAAGCTTATTTTATCAGAACCCAAATCCAGCGGTAGGAAAGATCACAAATGTGAAAAGGCCAAACCTATCGTCTGTCCAGAATGTGGGAAAAGATTCCTTACCGAGGTCGGCTTAAAGAGACATTTCAGTAAGCTCCATAAAGACGCTGACCACCCGTGCAAATACTGTTTAAAGCTCTTCACGAACAGGCCATCAAAGCTGGAGCATGAGCAGACCCATCCAAAGGAGAAACAGCCATACAGCTGTCCAGACTGTCCAGAGAGGTTCGACAACATTCACAAACGCAACACCCACCTCAAGCTCCATAGAGGTCCGTATAAGTATGCCTGTGACACTTGTGGGAAGCGCTTCAGGGACATCATTATGCTGAAGAGACATAAACTCATTCACTCTGGAGAAAAGCCCTTCAGGTGCCAGGTGTGCGATCGTTCCTTCAACCAAATTGGAAATCTCAGCTCCCACATGCGTCTCCACACCGGGGAGAAGCCCTTCATGTGTGAGCAGTGTGGAGAGTGTTTCAACCACAACGTCAGCCTGAAGAACCACCTGATGCGATATCATTATTCAGGTTTGTCTCAGATGGAGACACAGTAGTGCCAAGTTGATCCAGAGAACAGTGCGCTGTATAGAGGGTGGATGTTGAAAAGGGAGACAGTGTAACCATCACATGGTTTTGTTACTTTGAAGTTCTCAGTTCATTTATGGCTCTTACCTAGAACAACTAGGTAGTCATACACCCTAAATAGACTGAATGAGCCATACTATGAAGCCAGTCTCCTGAAAAGATGGAATGACATTAATCTGAATTACAGTACTGTCCAGCATTGTTGGCATGTTTGGTAAGAATAATGGGGGGAAAAAGCCCATAAAAGCTTCACCGACTGGATTTCTCCGGCTGGATTTCTCACCCTTGTTCAATATATAGCCGCAAAACAAGGCATTTTTTCCTCATTTCTTTATTTCCAAAGGTGCCAGCAATTCTGAAAATCGCTGTGTGGGTTATCCATGTCAATTTACCAGATGACACTTTTGACACTTGATTTTATCACAGTTCTGGGAATAGTAAGTTGTCTTGAGACTCTATAACCAACTTCAGGCCATGTAACCAAAACAGCAGCCCTATGCCTGCTGGCTAAATCATAAATTTAGTTAACCATTTATACAACCCCATTTCCAAAAAAGCTGGGACGCTGTGCGTAATGTAAATAAAAATATAATGCAATGATATGCAAATCATGTGAACCATATTTTTAAAGGAAAATACTACAAAGACGACATATCAAATGTTCAAAGTGAGAAATTTTATTGTTTTTTGAAAAATATATGCCCATTTTTAATTTGGTGCTGACAAGACATTTCAAAAAAAGTTGGGACAGGGGCCTGTTTACCACTGTGTTTCATCACCTCTTCTTTTAACAATACTCTGTAAGCGTTTAGGAACTGAGGAGACCAAGTTTTAAGTTTTGAAAGTGAAATGTTTTCCCACTCCTGTTTGATACAGAATTTCAGCTTCTCAACCATTTGGGATCTCTTTTGTTGTATTTTTCATTTCATAATGTGCCAAATGTTTTCACTGGTGACAGGTCTGGACTGTAGGCAGGCCAGTTTAGCGCCCGGACTCTTTTAATACAGAGCCATGCTGTTGTAATACATGCAGAATGTGGTTTGGCATTTCCTTGCTGAAATAAGCAACACCTTCCCTGAAGAAGATGTCGTCTGGATGGCAGCATATGTTGCCAAAACATGTATATATTGTTCAGCATTAATGGTGCCTTCACAGATGTTCATGCACCCATGCCATGTGCACTAATGCACCCCTATACCATCATGACTGGCTTTTGAACTGTGCTCTGATAGCAAGCTGAGTGGTCTTAAGTCTGGGGGACAAAGTGTCCATGATTTCCAGAATGAATTTCAAATTTTGATTTGTTAGACCACAGGACACTCAGTCCATTTTAAATGAGCTCAGGCCCAGAGAAGGTGGCAGCATTTCTGGATCCTGTTTATATATGGTTTCTTCTTTGCGTCTTAGAGTTTACAAAACAATAACATTTCTCAGTTTTGACATTGGCAATTTGACATTTGTTGTCTCTGTACTATTTTCAATTAAATACAGGGTTGAAATGATTTGCACATCATTGCATTTTGTTTTTATTTACATTTTGCACAGTGTTCCAACTTTTTTGGAAATGGAGTTGTATTTGAAGGGTAAGTACCTAACTTAGTCTAAATTTTAACTTGGCCCCGTACCATTGACCTCATTCTGCACTGAGATTACAGTTTATTAGGTACGCTTACACTGTACCAGCCATTTTATCAGATATGCCTACTATGTACACTACCTTTCATTTCTTTTCAGTTTCCAATCACTTTTCAAACGTTTGGAATCAATATTTTCAGTAAAATAAATCAATTTGGTTGCAGAGAAGTGTATAAAATAAGTGATAGTCTTGTGCTACTTCACAGCTTTCAGATTATTAGCAGGACTCTAAGAAGCTGTAAATAAAAATGAAGATCAAAATAAAAATGATGTCCAGATTCAGATCTGCCTGGAATAATGAAGCCGGAACTGCAGAATTTCAAAAGGCTGTGTTCACTAACACTCCACTACCATGTCAGTGTCACCGCTCTGCTGAGAGTGGTCCACCACCTGAATAATATCTGATCAGTGGTGGTCCTATGGTGGACTAGAAACAGAGGGGCTACAGTCAGTAACTGTATGCCTATAAAGGTACCAATGTGATAGGCATACCTGATGAAATGGCCAGTGAGTGTACCTAATTAACTGGCAACTCAGTATACGTAGCAGTTCAAAGATTTGACACCTTTGAAATATTCCGTTGTATTCTGTGGACTCTTGTGAGATCTGTTTGATTGATAGACTGCATCGAGGATTGTGAGGTTAATCAGACTAATCTTAGAGTAAATGCTTCTGCCAAGCCCAGAGGGGCTGTACACTTTGAATGGTGGTATAAACACAGAAATTCAGCTCATACACTGAGTGTGTATACATGCACTAAATAATGCGATCATAATCAGATTTCTGCAGTTATCCGATTATTCAAATGGTCATGTAAACACCATACTCTGATCTAGAAATCCGAATAAGAAATCCGATAAAGAGAGCTGGATTTTAGCTCAGTAATCAGATTTCTCAGTGCTGTAAACTCTGATTTCTATCGGATTTCTCAGTCTGCGCATGCGTGAGATCAGACGGTGGATGTCGTGAGATGCAGCAAAACACTGTTGGAGCGGCGCTGAAACCAAACACGAAATAAAGGGGTTAAATATTCTTCATCTTCTGGATGCTGTAAGTTCATAAAAAAAAAAAAAGTTTATTGGCTGGTTGAAAAGCTGAAATCTGATTACTGCCCGACTCATGTAGACCCAGAGTTTCCCCATTATCTGATTACTCAAGTGCATGTAAACGTTTTGATTGGATTACTGACAAATGCTGATTTTCTGCAGTTATCGGATTATTAAGTGCATGTAGACGCACTGCGTTTTCATGAGGATTTGTGGCCAATGAAGGTCTTTAGTGAGTTCATGCAAGAACAGAAAAAGGTTTTGTTTGTGCTGATGTACACAAGCTGACCATCTGTGCGTAAGTTTGATCATTATTATTAAAAACCTACACACATTCATTTACAGCTGTTGGTGAAAACCAGTTCAAGTGATTTTTTTTTCTTCTTCTCAAAACCACCTCGGTAAACACATCTGGCACTTTCAGACACTTTTGCAGAGCAGACTTAACTGACAGCTTTTTTTGTATGTTCACAAATGCTCATGCTCATCACTCACGATTCACTATCCTATAGATCAGTCCTACAGAAATCGGGACTGCCTGGGGGCACTAAGGCCTGGTCTGAGAACCATTTATCTAGGCTACCACATCTGGATAATTTTTGCTAAGTTTGCTATGAGTTGCTAAGTGTGTCCTAGTACATTTGACCTTAGTATCTGATTTATCGTTAACAATTAGAATGTGTACACAATATTAGCAAATCTTCAGTATTGGTTGTGTACATAAAATGCCTTCTGTGTCTGATCCTGCATAACATTATGACCATGTTGCTGGAGTTTTTAAACACTGTGTCCACTCACTGTCCACTCTATTAGACACTCCTACCTTGTCAGTCCACCTTGTAGATGTAAAGTCAGAGACAATAGCTCATCTGCTGCTGCACAGTTTGTGTTGGTCATCCTCTAGTCCTTCATCAGTGGTCACAGGACGCTGCCCACAGGACGCTGTTGGCTGGATATTTTTTTTATTCAGTGACACTGAGGTGTTTAAAAACTCCAGCAGCACTGCTGTGTCTGATCCACTCAGACCAGCACAACACACACTAACACACCACCACCACATCAGTGTTACTGCAGTGCTGAGAATGATCCACCACCCAAATAGTACCTGCTCTGTGAGGGTCCATGGGGGTCCTGATCACTGAAGAACAGGGTAAAAGGGGGCTAACAAAGTATGCAGGGAAACAGATGGACTACAGTCTGTAACTGTAGAACTACAAAGTGCACCTATATAGTAAGTGGAGCTGATAAAATGGACAATGAGCGCAGAAACAAGGAGGTGGTCATAATGTTATGCCTGATTGGTTTAATTCATATATGTTTAGTAAATATTCATCTTGGCTCTGCTGGAAAACATTCCACAAAAGTCTCATTAGCAAAACATGCGTTGTGCATCGTTTTCAATTCAGGGGACTAGTTGAATTTCATCTTGTCTGCCTAGTGCATTTGCTGAGTTGACTGTAACATGACTGTCATAACTGACCAGCTGCTTCAATTGTTTTTTTTCCCCTCAGATAATTATTGTAGATGTTTTGTCTTGTCAAAAAATCAGTGACAGAGCTGTTCTTGTCATTTATATTCTGTAATGTTTATAATTAAATTGTGATAACAAATGAGATTTTCCTGCTTTTAACTTAAATTCCTTACAGTGCTTTGCAAAAGTCAGAGATCAGCCTTTATTTATTTCATTTCCAGTCAAAATGGCTGGTACAGGTTATTCAGTTTTTTAGCTCCAAGAAAAAAAATTACACAGAATTACACAGAACCATCAAAATGTTCAGGTTTTGTGCATTGTTTCTCAACCCTGCTCCTGGAGGCCCAGTGTTGCACTTTTTTTTTTTGTGTTTTTCTGCTCCCAACATGCCTGATCCAACTAACCAGTTCCTTAACAGCCCATTATTAAGTTAAAGTGGCTGTTTTAACCTCTTCAACTCCTTGAGACCACTGGTGGTTCCAAAACACACTTCGTCATATTCTTCATAACTTTCATATTTCATAAGCTACATTCAAAAGGTGGGGGTCATATGAGAGCTGTAACTGTCTTCTTTCCAGTCAAATAGATGGGTAATGTAATTTTAAACCCTTATAATAAAAGAAGCTGGACTCACATTTTTTTTCTACTGAAAGTCGACCAATTTTTCCACAAATCTGGGCTGTAAACTATAAACAGATGGTGACTCTTCAGTGATCTGCTCTGTAAAAATAATTTTTATAAAATAATACAAAGAGGATCTAAGATTGTTGGCTTTTAGCAGTAAATTGTAAGCATATAGAAGAATGTGTATGATCATAAAACACGTTCTGTTCATTTGAGGGGAGCCTTTATAAAAAAAAAAACATAAAAAAAAATACAAATTTACATTTATTTCATGCAGTTACTGAATAATTTGCCTTACGATTTGATCATGTAAATTCAGGTGGACAAACCAAAATATACCCTGAAGCAGGAAAAGCATTAGAGATGTGCAGGGCAGTGGGCCCCCAGGACCAAGGTTGAGAAAAAGTGAGTTTTCAAAGAAATCTGTAGGGATATTTTTCCACACCTCCAAAGTTCAGTCTTGGCTGCATTTTCTGCTTCTCACAATCGAAGTAATCCCAAACACATTCAGTGGTGTTGAGGTCTGGACTCTGGGGTGGTCAGTCCATTGTTCAGCTTCTTTGTTTGATGTGTCCGTCTCCTTTTTCTCAGTGAGGTTCTTCTTGAACAGCTACACATCCTTTCAGACCCATAGCGCTGAGTCGTCCTCTCACAGTGGAAGGATGGACAGAAACACCTGTGGATGTTTTCAGATCTGAAGCAGCTTGATTTTCTCCTCTCTCTCAAAGATGAAAGCTTTAAGTGCTGTTTATCTGATGGGGACAGTTTTGCTGGTCTACTAGGTCTTCCAGGTGATTGCTAGGAGTCCCATTTTTTTCTGTAGCTTTTAATCACTTTTTGAACTCCAGTTTTGGAAACTCATTTATTTTATTTTATGCAAGTGGATTCTCTTAAACCTCATAAATATCTCCTGAAGATGAATTACTTAATGGGTGTTTTGACTGGAAAATACATGAATGAATGATCTCTGACTTTTGCACAGTACTGTTTACATTATAATAGGGTACCATGGCCTCCATGGTGACACAGCACACTTCAACCAAGACAAAAGAGATTTACATTGCTGAAATCTAGCACCCACCCAAACACACATTAACAGGCCTTTATCTCCTACATAGAGATCATGCAACACTCGAACAACCAAACAGTCGGATCCTCTTTGTTTGAACCCTTTATTTAATGCATGGCAAGGCCATTATGTTGGGGTGTTAAGGTAGCATACAAAGGACTTGGCAAATCTTGAGGTTGAGTGACTAGTGCAGTAGAACACTAACTGTACCTATTTATTTAGCCTTGAATCTCCAACAGGCCCATGTCCATGGCATCCTGCAGTTCACAGCAGGAACCCTTCAGCTCCAACACTCCACTTTGTGATCTGAGAACCTCCCTGTTAGCCCCATGCATTAAGGGAAATCTCCTGATGAATTGGGAGGAAAAAGATTTGTCTTGTCCATGGATTATTTGTCTCATTGAGCTGAACCACCATCTCTGCAGATGTAACAGCTCTACATGGTTTTCCAGGAAGTCCAGAAAAGGCCTCAGCTTCCCTTGAGTCATTAAAGAGTGTTCATGTCCTCTGAAAGCCTTATGTAATATCTCTTAAGCTTCACTAACTAGAAACTAACTACAGATTGCTCCGTCACCCTTCATAGCATGTTGAATTTCATCCATTTGTCAGACAGAAACTCGTCCCATGCATTCAGCGAAAGACAAAAGAGGATTTTCTTCAACATAAAATAAGTGTGTTTAACAAAATACTTTATTCCAACACTTGAAGGAAAGTGAGACGAGCTACTTTGCCATTTTCAAGTTGTGTAGGAAAGCCGTTTCTATCGTATGGTTCAGCGAATGTAGCTTTCTGCGTATGGTGGTCAAAGATATTTCCCTGCCTACCTCCTTCAGAGTGTTCTTGATCTGCTGGACTGGGGTTCGAGGATTTTTCGTCATAATGGAAAGGATTATTTGGTCAACCTCCTCGGTCGCCTTCCTCGGCCTTCCGGGTCGTTTCCTGTTACTCACGTCTCCAGTGCTGGCTTTCTTCTTAAGGATGTACCCGACGGTTGATTTGGACAAGCCTAACGTTTTGCCTATTTCTCTGATTGACTTCTTTTCATTTCTCATGCTCACTATGATCTGTTTTATTTCCATCGACACCTCTTTGGTCTTCATGCGGTGGGGCACCATTACCACGGTCTAAAGGTAAAGCAGAGCATACAGTTGTGATTTGTATCATATATGCTGTGACAGACACCAAAAACAGAGCAAAAATAGAAAAAACTTTGCATTTAAAGCTGACAGGCTTAGGATACAGTGCCCCCAAAAGTATTCGGACACTTTAACCATCAGTAAACGTGAAGTTGTTTTGGTATGCCTGATCGGTGTAAACTGTGATGGATTCAGAGACGATGAAGAGAGCTGTTGTTTCTCCTCTCTACTCTAGAACATTGTTTGCTGTTTGTTTGCTAGTTTATCGTTGCCTGATAAGCTAAAGGCAATGCGGCAGCTGCTCTTGTTTGCAAGTTAAAATCTTCTTGACTTTTTGCACCATGCATATTTTGCTGCAATGCAACCCTCCACGCATTGCAGAAGAGCTTTCCATTGAAACGAACAGGATGCAGTGAAGCGGCAGTGCAAGTGGACCCATACCGACAACATGATCCTTGCGTTAAAAAATAAAAAAAAATCTGTGCATCCCTTGCTGTCAGTGATCAATCAACGAGAGAAGCACAGTGTGCTTTCTTGAGGTAACTAAATGTAGCCCATAAATACAATCATGTCATCAATCATCTGTTAAAACAACACTGCAAAAATATTTGGGAAACGAGCTGCTAAATCTTCCTGTTTACATGCGATTGTCATGCGATTTCTTAACTGAATAAGTACACACCTCGCTATCCTTCTCCCCAGGCTCTGGTGTATGTTGTACCTCTGGGTGTGAAACTGCATCCTCATCCTTGTGCTCTTCATGCAAGGACTCCTTATGGTCTTTGTATTCTCGATGGAAGGGTCTCTCATGGTCTTTGTGTTCTTTATGGATGATTTCCTCATGGTCTTCATGCTCCTCATGGAAATCCTCCCCAGGTTCATCAGCAGAGTTAGGATGGCTTCTCCATTTTCTGTGGTGGCCACAGCTCTGGCAGTCCTGGGTGACTGAAAACAGCCTCTCGTTGCCCTCAATGGTGACACAGCACTCGACCAGGCAAACGGAGCAACACTTGAAGAGCTCCAGCAAACACTGTGTGTTCACCAACACCTCATCACTCCTGCAACAAGGAGAAGGTATTTTTCAAAAATGAACAGACATCATGGCTCATAAATACACATTCCATGGCTTTACTGCACCAGAAACATCTATGAATACGCTTTTTTAAGAAACACAGCCAGTACATGTTTCACAGTCCAAAGCGTAATTCGTCTCAATTCTACTATGCTTAATTGAATTTTCTATTAAGACCATATCAGTGAAAGTTACAACACTGCAAACATAGTTTAAGGAAACTCAGAACTGAAAACAAAGTTCAGGACTTACTTTAGTATACCGGACACTTCAGGTGCTTGGCTGATCTTGAAAGCTGTAAAAGATCATTTTATATCAGACTATAAAGATAATTTCATTCCATTTAATTTGACCCCAACCACATAACACAACTACTGCACTGAATTTACTGTACTTTTCACTTCTACTGAATTTCACTTTCATCTCAGCACTGCCACCACAAAACTTTGGGTGTAAATTAGTGACTCTCAGTTCCATTTCTGGGGCCCCTTGCATGAGTCATTTCTTACATTTCCCTGCTTTGAGACAGTTAAACTGCTCAGGCATATAAGGGTTCAGTAAATACATGATGAGATGAATCTGATGTTACAGAATAGAAGACATCAAACCATTCACTGCACTTCCTCCCAGGACTAGGACTGAGAACCACTGGTGTAAATGAGGCTTATCTGAAGGCTCATGATCTCAGCATTAGAATCAGCTGAGCTACTGAATGACAAAGGCAGAACCTCAGCCTCCCACAGCAACCATCCATGTGAGGAGGTGAGGATTGTTTTTAGACATATATTAAGATAGTATCTACATATCGTGGCCCCAAAAATATTTGGACAATTGCATCATACTTAAAAATATACGTGCATTGTGTTAGAAAACAGAACGTCCACCCAAATACTGTTTATTTCAAACAGACTGTACCATTACTTTTCAAAAGGCGGCTGGTGTGTTTCAGATTGTTATCCTGTTATCAACAGCAGCTCTAGTTCTGTCATCTGAGCAGGTTCTTTGCAGGCTTGGAGGCAAAATGCACTTCATGATACCACCAATGAACACAAGCTCACGGACACTGTTTTAAGAACAACACACTCTGAGATCACCACTGTGCTCTACTCCTAATTCAGTACTTTTAGTGCAGTCTGGTTGGAATCCGTCTCCAGGACTTCTCCACACACCGTCAGTTTTATGCTGTGCTAAAAGTCTTTTTTTAAATATCATTTTGACAAATATCTTAGGAAGCAACCTAAAGGACTAGTTCCCTGACTAAAGGTACTGAGATGTACCCTTGAGGGTCCCACCCCAATGACAAGAGGGCTACTGCCCCAGTGACAGTTTAGTACCTTTATTTCTGAGTGTATACCCGTTCATCTAATGGTCAGGTCCACCACAGAGCAGGTATTATTTGGGTGGTGAATCATTCTCAGCACTGCAGCGGTGGTGTGTTAGTGTGCTGTGCTGGGAGAAGTCCTGTGACCACTGATGAAGGACTAGAGGACACAAACTGTGCAGCAACAGATCAGCTGTTGTAGCTAACTTTACATCTACAAGGTGAACCAACAACGTAGGTGTGTCTAGTGGAGAGGGCACCCCATGACGATTCAGTGATTACTGCGTTTGACAATGGTTTGCATGATGCGTGCGTCAGTTGGGTGTCCATTCCTTCCAGATTAGCATGCTTGGTACCTCGGTGAGAAGGGTGACCAAATTCAGCATGGGTACAATAGCATTTTTCCACTGGGCAGAGCGGTACGATTACAAATCTGTGACCACGCATTTTGTCTTTAAGTGGACACAGTGTTTAAAAACTCCAGCAGCACTGCTGTGTCTGATCCACTTGTGCCAGCGCAACACACACTAACACACCACCACCACGTCAGTGTTACTGCAGTGCTGAGAATGGTCCACCACCCAAATAGTACCTGCTCTGTGAGGGTCCATGGGGGTCCTGACCACTGAAGAACAGGGTAAAAGGGGGCGAACAAAGTATGCAGAGAAACAGATGAACTACAGTCTGTAACTGTAGAACTACAAAGTGCACCTATATAGTAAGTGGAGCTGATAAAATGGACAATGAGTGTACAGTGTATATTTTGACTGTATCAACATGTTCCCTACCTTTCAGAGTTGGATCCTCTTTCATTTGGGAGCAGGTTGCGACCGGAAAGTCTTCTTTGTCAGACGTCTCCTTTAAATCAAGAATTACTTCAGATGTTACAAATGTTTTGAAGCTGATTCTGTAATGTGTGTTACTAGAGTGCTGCACTTTAAAAACTGCTTTAACTTCACAGTCATTATCAAGGCTGAAGTAGAAGTAACTTCAAACAGATCTGTTGGCGAGTGTGATTCACACTGCATTCACAAATGAATGCTTTCCGTTCAGGTAAGTGACTTTGTATAGTATTTCAGTAACTGATTACACATATATAAATGTATAAGAAATCTCTCATTGTATTATCTGTGTTATTAGCCATGTTAAGAAATGTTCTGTAGTGCAGCACTGCATCCCTCAGCCTCATCAGTTTGACAGAATTCACAATTTAATTCCTTCTTTTTGTTATTGTCCAGCAATGTTCTTCCACTACGATACCCAGCATGCTTTACGCAAATATGTCAATCAATACTAGATACTACTGTGGCCATTATAAGAGACAAGTAGCTATGATGATAACAGATGTAATAATGTTTTTTTTTCATTTTGTCCACTTCAATACGTAAAGTGAAAGGGGGCTAACAAGGTGTTCACTAGCTTCACAGTCATTGCAAAGATAGTACGGTACTGGTACCTAATAAGCAAAAAACAATATGGTAAAATAAGTATTGAAAAAAATGAAAGGCACCAGCCAACAGATGAGACTTTTCAATTTCCTCAATAAAAACACTGGTGAAGAAAAAAACCCTTGGTAAGTAGCGTCCGTATATGAGCCTGAGATGTTTCTGTCTTCAGTTAAAGTTATGTGGTAACACTTACAGTAGAGCTGGGCAACATGGCAAAAACATAATATTGTGAGTAATATCGCAATAGGTAATATTACGATTTTACGATACTCGATATGTCACAATACTTATTTTTTCACACATCTGATCAGTTAGAAAGTTGAAAAAAGAACCAATAGTGCTACATTTAAAAAGTTAGTGTGTAATTGGTCAGTGTTGTACAAGTACCGATAATATCCACGATATGTTCAGAAGAGCGTATTGTATTGTGGCAAAATTTATCACAATAACGATACATACTGTCATATTGCCCAGCCCTAGCATGCAGTCACGCTCGCAGCTGGGACCAATACACAACTAGTGATTTTTTGCTCTTCTAGGTGAGGATAAGTCACCAAACACTAATACGTGACCAATAAGTTAACCAAAATAAAATGGTGTGTCGATATTTTTAGAATAATCACTTGCTAAAGCATTTGATGTTATGTTAACTAATGTTGTTAGCATTTATGCTAGCAGTCACAGAACGCTTGTTTTTGCTCACATTTTCACACTTGAGAGTGAGGTTTTCTTGACTCTACACACTATTCTGTGTAACTGTAGGCGACTGTATCATATTTTGTAGAATCATTTAGCAAACAAGTGAATTCAAACTTGACAAAAAAAAGCTTTAGCTACTGGAGTCGGTGCCGAACGGTGCTGTATCGTTTTATGACAGTATAACCTACTGTTATTTTACAGCTTATCAGGCAAGACAGCTGATAATGTAGCCTATTTAGACTCTTCAGCCTTGATAGCTAATAGCAATTATGTGTGTGCTGTATTATTTGTTTACAATCGTAAGCTAAAGTTCCTGATTATGACACTACAGATACGTCCAAAGCTGAATACTACTATGCTGTACATGCTATAATACTGAATGCACTTCTACAGAACGTGTACTGTTTCTGGCCTACTGTATAGTATATAGCATTATTGGACGGTGCATATAGGCGTCACTCGTCCAGGATTCTGGTTTTCTGACCAGGGAAAACATCCTGGACTCCAAGCATTTTCAAACAGCATTTAAACTGCTTCTTTCATCCTATAATTTCTAGACCGTTTTATCATCATTATATATTTCTGTTTCTATAAAAAGAACGGGTTGCCCTTAACGTGGGGACAACTGTTTATGAAGTGTGACATGTTCAGGAAGCACTATAAGGCGAGAACTGAGAGTATTTCTGCTGTACACTCTTTAAAAAGATGGTTCTTCAAGGGTTCTTTAGTAAAAACAATAGTTTTGTATAGAATCATGGACATTTAGAGAACCATTTGCATGCTTACATGGTTCTAGGAAAGGTGAAATGGTTTAGATTAATGGGGAATGTGCTGTATATGGTGCTATATAGAACCTGTTTGAAATTGGTTCTAGATAGCATCTATTGTTACAAGCTTGACATCATAACAGTAGAAGAACCCTTTTGATGCGATACAGAACCACATGCAAAACGTTCGCCATCAACTTGAAGAACCACTTTACCATGCAAAGAACCATTTAAGCATGCAGATGGTTCTTGGGGTGTTTATGGTTCTACACAGAACCACTGTCTTTACTACAGAACTACGCTGGAGTGACATATCTTTGGTTGCATTCTGACTAGAGCACCACTGAATTTGCGACAACAACATCAAGGGACTGATCAGGGTGTCGGGGAGTTTTACAGAGCTGATATGGCAACCCTGGACAGGCCTAGTGCAGAACCAGCGCTCCCACCTCCTCCAGCGGCTGGGACAGCATCTCCACTCGGATCCCCGTCCACGGGAACACGGAGGGCACTGCGCCCTCTTTCAGGCAGTTGCCCTTGTAGTCCGCGGCTACGAAGTGGTCGCTGCAGACCCTCAGCCGCTGCTGAGTGACCACCGTCAGGTCCGTGTCGGCTCCGAACTCGGGGTGCTGGACGGAGCGCAGCCAAGTGCGACACAGCGCGCGGTCGGTCAGAGGGAACGCGTGGAGACGCGCGGACACGCTCGAGTTACTGCAGCCCGGCACGACGCACCTCATTGTACTGTGGGCAGAGTCGCCAGCTGACCTTTCAGTCTTACGGGGATTTAACGGGAAACTAGCCACCCATTTAGTAAAGCTGACCGAGTCCAGTCCAGATGGGCGTTTCTTTGTGGCTGTAACCCGGATGCGAAGTTTACTCTGGGCTGTGTTCCAATTCGAGCACATGCCTACTGCACACTACACTATCTAGTGTACATCTGTCGCTCGTGTGAGCAGGGAAAGTGCAGAACTGCGCCAGCTGCGTTCAAAACGGTTCGAATCGCCATACGTCTAACTCAGGGGTGCCAAAACTTTTTATCTTTGGGGGGGCCACAGTGCAGTGGTGGGCCGAGGGGCAGAACAACAAAAGAATATATAACTAATAAACAAGGTCGGTTTGAACTTTTAAAATGTGTATTTTATAGCATTTTACTATATTATTTACCTAAAACACTTAAAAATACCAGTACTACACTCTTTAAAAAGAGGGTTCTTCAAGGGTTCTTTAATAAAGAAAAGGTTTCTACATAGAACCATGAACATCCAGAAGCCTTCGCATGATGGTTCTATATAGAACATTTTTGAAAATGGTTCTATATAGCACCAAAAAGCGTTCTTCTGTTGTTATAATGTCAAGCTTGTAACAATAGAAGAACCCTTTGGGTGCTATTTAGAATAAAAAAGTTCTCTATAGAACCATCTACAGCACATTCCTGCACATTTTCCATCAATCTGAAGAACGCTTTCATGATGAACCCTGTAATCATGCAAAGGGTTATTTGAGTGTTCATGGTTCTATATAGAACCATTTCCTTTACTAAAGAACCCTTGAAGAACCGTCTTTTTAAGAGTGTAGTTTAAAAATAAAATAAGAATTTATTAAGTTGTATAAGCACTCTTAAAAAAGATGGGTCTATATAGAACCATGAACATTCAAAGAACCCTTTTGATGATTAAAGGGTTCTTTGCATCATGAAAGAGTTCTTCAGACTGACTGAGAATGTGCTGTAGATGGTTCTGTATGGGACCTTTTTGGAAATGGTTTTATATAGCATATATAGGGCTTGTAATAATAGAAGAGCCCTTTTGGGTGCTATATAGAACTCCTTTTTTAAAATGGTTCTATATAGAACCATCTGTAGCACATTCACACAGGTTTTCCACAATCAACCCAATCAAGCAACCCAAGATAGGTCACTCCAGCTAAAGCTCTTAAAAAGCTGGTTCTTTAGTTAAGAAAAGGTTCTGTATAGAGCCATGAACACTCAAAGAACCCTTTGTATGCTTAAATGGTTCTGTGCAGAGTGAAATGTTTCATCAGATTGATGGAGAATGTGTTATATATGGTTCGTTCTAGCTTGTAACAATAGCTGCTATACAGAACCATTTTTACAAAGGTTCTATATAGAACCATATACAGCACATTCTCCATCAATCTAAAGAACGTTTTTTTATGATGCAAACCATTTAATCATGAAAGTGGTTCTTTAAATGTTCATAGTTCTATATAGAACCATTTTCTCTTCTAAAGCACCCTCGAAGAACCTTTTTAAGAGCGTAGGTTATGTCAGTTGTCATGACAAGCTTATGTAGGTGTCATCTACCCTTATTAACAGCTTCCTACAGTAGAGTGTTACCAATTTTATGATGAAGGATTAAAATCTCTTTTGAGAAACAGACGTTTCAAACACACAAGCACAGCAGCTACGAACACAACAGCAGGATATGTTGCACAGCCATGTAACTATGAAGATTACAACACAGTTCAACTATGTTAAGTTAAACATTTGAATAATTGATGTACTGTCAAATATATATTATTAAATTATTATATCATTTTATATTACTATTATATGGTATATTCTGTTAAACTACCATCATCCAATTTTTGCCAAACATTAAATTTGTAGAAAACTGTGTTTTTATTTATAAAAATGTCTTCAGTTACAAAAAGTCAAGATTGAAAGTTATTCATTGATTGAAATGACAGGAATCCTGGATGTAATTTCTAGCGTCCGTATGCCTGTATAGTGTGTGCAGGCGAAGGGGAGTGAGAATTTGTTTCTGTCTTAAGAGGCTGAGCAGCTACGCAGTGAAGTTTTATTCGTTTTTATGCCTCACAGTAATTCGTACTGTGTCTAAAACCACATCAACCTTAATGAAGAAGAGAAGCAAAAAAATCCCATTATTTTCAGTGAAAATGCAGCAAAAAGCAGCAAATATTTGCATGCAGTCTTACAGTCTAAGGTTCTATGACTAATCAGGTGAATTTACATTTCTCAGAATGAAACACTTCAGGAAACTGCAGGTGTTGAAAACAATTCAACTAAGCAAATAAATACAGATCATTGGCGTCATTTACCAAAACTGTTGTAAATGTAGTCATAATGAACTGGTATAGCATCTTTTATTCTGGTTTCAGTGTTTTACATAGAAAACAGTCACATGAAGTAAAAGAAAATTGTAAAATCTACAAGAAACTACGAATAAAAAAACAAAGAAAAGTATCAAAGTTAAATTACTCAAAATTACAAACAAAAAGGATAAACAAAAGTAGAAAATGCAGCACTAGCTAGATTAACAGTCTGTCTGCATCTTAGAGCTGTGGGAGGCTGTTCTGTGTGGAGAATTAAGTCAAAGTCAAGTCAAACTTTATTTATATAGCGCTTTTTATGACAGGTGTTGTCACAAAGCAGCTTTACAGAAAAATCTGGGTCCGAGCCCCCATGAGCGTCGCCAATGGCGACAGTGGCAAGAAAAAACTCCCTTAGAGCAAGAGGAAGAAACCTTGAGAGGAACCAAGACTCAATAGGGGAACCCATCCTCACACCCACCGGATAGCAAACAGCGTTAGTATAAAATATTAGAATACAAAATGGGGAAAAACAGGTGGAGCAGTGGTTAATTAGATAGTTTGCACAGTGTTGTACAGCGTGAAGTTCAATGGTGGTCAAAACGGTCCAAAAGGCTGGCAAGCAGTCGGGCACCCGATCAAGGCAGTTAAAATGCTTTTACCCTTCTGACAGCATCTTAACAAAGATATTCTTTTGGTGAAACCAAAGATACCTGGAACAACAGGGGCATTACCAAATAAACAGATACATTATATGTCCAAAAGTCTGTGGACACCTGCTCATGCAGTGTTTCTTTTGAACTGGAGGGATATTAATAGGGAGATCCTCTTTGCTGCAGTAACAGCCTCTACTTTTCTGGGAAGGCTTTACACTAGATGTAGCAACACTGCTGTGAGGATTTGATGGCAGCTACAAGAGCATTAGTGAGGTCAGGTACTGATGTTGGATAATCAGTTCTGGATCACTGCGACTCATTTGAAAGATATTCGATGGAGCTCCATCGCTCCAGAGAGCAGTTACATTGCTCCACAGCCCCATGCTGGGGGGCTTTTTACCCCCCTAGCTGGCACTGAGCATGGTGAAATTAAGCTCTTGTGCAGCCTCTCCTGAACATTCTGTTGGCAGAGCTCTTCTAAGGGCTGTCTGAATACTTTTCAACATTTGAACAATATAACCAGCCTGCACAAGTTATATCTGCAGATGTTTGTGCCTTTTGGAATGCACTATAATCACAAAACTCATTCTTTATGGCAGTTTCTTTCAATTTTAGATAAGAAACTAAACAATCCAAGGCACCTGGGCAAAAACTCTGACAATGGTTACTTGAAAATGAACTACATTTTCACATTTCTCTCACAGTATTCATTGACTGTTAAGCTCTGCTTGTAATAATTTGAATGTTTTCTTGGGCAAATAGAGATGTGATCTCAGTTGAACTATCATTGCCATTTTACTTTCTGGAAAAAAGAGAAAATCTGCTGTGATAATTATATTGAAAGTGATTTTTACAGCTTACTTATCAGTGGTGCTTTATAGAGTAGAAGAATAAGTGAATAATACATAGTTAGAATTCAGGCAGTTTAACTGAATGCATTTAGCACCAGATATCAGGATATTATAGTGCAGTAATATATAAATGCAGTTAATTATTTATAAAGTAAACAATTAGTCCTTACAAAAGAATCAAAGAAGATTCAGTTGCTTTACATGTCAACTGGTAATTTCTCTCCTTCACCCTCAGAGGTGGTGCAGATGAAGTTGAGTCTCTGATTCTCTGGCAGACTGACCCACTGCTTACTTCCAGACTGCACCGCTCCTGTTCTTTCTCCTCCACTGCAGTCTTCCACCTCTGTCCCGTTCCCCGGAGCCCAGTTCTGGTAGCAGACGAACTCTCCGCTCACCCAGAACCAGAAGCTCAGGGTGCAGGTGTGACGCAGACCCATCCACACATTAGCAGTGGTGGCATTATTAATAACGAACTCCACCCAGTGCTGCATTTTCTCAGTGTGAACAGAAACCAGATCCACCTGATTCTCTCTGCAGTATCTCAGAGCTTCTCTCCATGTCTTCTCCTCTTTAATCAGGATGAGTGGAACAGCTTAATCAGGGAGGGAGAACAAAAGCCATTTTAACAGATAGTTTGGTGGAAGATGAACATAGCTATGCTTCAGTGTTTATAGGATATTATGACATTTAGAACTGATCTTCAATGGAAATTAAGGACTTGTGCATATAATATAGCCTCAGAAAGCAAGACGTGGCATGCTCTCCTAACGAGAACAACCATGAGAAATACTGGGCTAAATGTGGGTTTGAAATTTCGAAACCAATATAATGCCTTGTAACAGAGTTAAAGTAGGGAGTACTGTACAACAAACTACAAACCTGTTGTTAGCTCATTGACATACACCGATCAGGCATCACATTATGACCTCCTCCTTGTTTCTATGCTCATTGTCCATTTTATCAGCTCCACTTACTATATAGGTGCACTTTGTAGTTCTACAGTTACAGACTGTAGTCCATCTGTTTCTCTGCATACTTTGTTAGCCCCCTTTTACCCTGTTCTTCAGTGGTCAGGACCCCCATGGACCCTCACAGAGCAGCTACTATTTGGGTGGTGGATCATTCTCAGCACTGCTGTAACACTGATGTGGTGGTGGTGTGTTAGTGCGTGTTGTGCTGGTATGAGTGGATCAGACACAGCAGTGCTGCTGGAGTTTTTAAACACCTCAGTGTCACTGCTGGAGTGAGAATAGTCCACCAACCAAAAACATCCAGCCAACAGCGTCCTGTGGGCAGCGTCCTGTGACCACTGATGAAGGACTAGAGAATGACCAATACAAACTGTGCAGCAGATGAGCTCTCGTCTCTGACTTTATTGTGTAATATTTGGGTGGTGGATCATTCTCAGCACTGCAGTAACACTTATGTGGTGGTGGTGCGTTAGTGTGTGTTGTGCTGGTCTGAGTGGATCAGACACAGCAGTGCTGCAGGAGTTTTTAAACACAGTGTGCACTCAATGTCCACTCCACCTTGTCAGTCCACCTTGTAGATGTAAAGTCCCTCCAGATGACAGTGTGGGTTTTGAATCACCTTTCTACCCACTGCTCTTTAGTATTTTGGAAAAATGTAAGCACAATTACATCTGATAATTCAGTCATTTTTGTGCATTTCACGTTTACTTAAAATTATGGCTTATATACCAGCAAAAAAACAGCCACTTATTTTAGGTAAATTTAAATGCTTAGTTCCATGAAATTAACCTAGAATAAGTGTCTGTTTCCTAACTGTTATATAGCATGTATAACTTACAGATATCTTAGCGTCACACTGAACTAACCCTGGGTGATAGGGAGATATAATCGGGTATCATTGATGATTGACAAGTAACACAGTCGTGATGCTTATAGAGTGCTTATAAGTGCAATGCTAGCTTTATCTATCCCATGGCTCTTCTCCTTCTACTTATTTTAATCTACATTAAAGTTTGCTTGACTGTATGGTGGTTTAGATGAGTTAAATTATGAAAACTGTGAAAATATAATACAATGTGGCTTTCCAAAGGCATATATGGCTCAATTCCAGACTGACTCCACTATAACAACGGAAACCTCCTTGATTTTCAGTATGTAAAGCATGTGGCCAGTGCAAGGATTTGGAAATCACTTGCAGTCTAAAGTTTCTCCAGCAGGGAGCACTATTAGCACATAACTCCCCATGAATCTACACCAGAAGAAGCTCATAAATGCATGTTTCATCATTTAAAACAACAGGTGAAGTAGTTTTTAAAAGATGTTGGGTTACTCAGTATTGTATTAATTAATATGTAGTTTGTATTAAAGGTTTTCATTTTAACAGTTCATGTTCAAAAAAGCATATAAACAAAAAACAGAAGAAAAAGGAGGGAAGCCCCCTCAAGCAATTATGATAAAATAAAAAAAAATTGTTTTGACTTGCAGTGGGAACAGCAAAAAAATGAAATAACTCATCATTGTGTTATGGCCAACAAACTTTTTTACTCAATTTCCGCTGCATTTTCTTCTCCAATCAGTGCTTAGCAACCATTCTACCCTCCTCCATTATCTCGTTCAGGCTTTCAGGTTTTTAGTAGTGAGCTAGCATTCCTGTGAATGTACATGAATATGAAGCTACAGATATTCAAAAGACTGTGGGGATCTGTAAAAGCGAGACCTAAAACTTTGACAGAGGATGCTTGTTTCCAAAACCAAATGCAAAATGTATCATCACACCACTTAAATGTGATAGTTAAAGATTAGTTTTTCCTAGAATAAACAATTGCGACTCAACTGTGTGTGTGTGTGTGTGTGTGTGTGTGTGTGTGTGTGTGTGCATGTTCTTGATTCTGCCAAAAAGAAGTCTGCTACTTTTACATATTGTTACAATTTTGTAGGCGTTTCTCTGTTTGTTTCATCTGTTTATCAACATTCAGAATGAGAAATGAAAGCACCATGCTTACATTAAAGCACTGAGTCAGAGTAACTGCTCCAAACATTAACGTTAAAAGTGAATGAACTGGATCTGTAACAAATGTTCTGCAATTCATCATCTTATATGACTCACCTTTATAGCAGATAAATGGATTTGGCCATGTGCAGCGTTCATCATTCCATTTGTATTCAGGGCTACTCCATAACTGCACACAGAGATCACCCACACCATTGTTTGGCTCATCCTTGTTCCAGTATCTGTATGAGGAGCTACTCCCATCTGACCAGATCCAGCTCTAGAAACACATTAATACCTGATCAGTAAACATGTTAAAATTATTGTTCTCTAAATCACACAGTGATTTTAACGAGTAACGGTTGAAATGTAAGTGTTTTAATAAGAAATAAAATTGAATATATTTTGAAGTCAACTTGAAATTAAAATGGACATTTTTGCATGTCCATGATCATCTTAAACACAATTTGTGATATAAAATGTATATCATTCCATACAATTCCTATTTTCCTGTAATCTTCCATCAAAATGTAATGGTGTTTCCTCTGCCTCTAAAACGTTTTGATTAGATCACAGTGCATTAGCAGGGAGGGGAAAATAATATTAACTACTAACGTGTTTCACTTCCTGCCACCACCTCCACCCATCACTGAGAGAAGTGCTCAGCTAGATACAAATAAAAGGCAGCTCTATTCCGTTAAAGAAAAAGAGGCAACATTTTTAAAAATAAGGATTTCTAGCAGGAATATGTTCAAAAGCATATAGGAGTTACAGTGATTTTCTAGCCTATGTTTGTCTGTATGCACTACATTTGTTGTGTTTTGATGCTGGTAAGCTGATCAACCAACATGCCCATGCTGGGTGACCAGCTAAACCAGCACCAGACAAACATAGACCAGCATAGACCAGCTTAGACCAGCATGAAATGCTTGGTTTGGGTGGCATGATGCCACTTTCGCAACGTTGTTTAGACTATTAATATTAAATGTGGTGATAAAACATAACCTGTTGTACACTCTATTAAGTCGATGTCCGAAGACCACAGCTGGACAAAAAAATGAATGATTTCTAGCAGGATTATGTTCAAACACGTTTAGGAGTTACAGTGATTTTCTAGCCTATGTTTGCCTGTATGCACTAAACTTGCCTGCAGTGCAGATTTTGTCATGATTAACTCTCATAAATAAAGAACATGTCAAACAGTGTGTTAACTATGGTAACAATATTACTTTACACAATTTTATGCAAATATTTGAGCACCCCATTCAAATAACATGTTTTCTTGTCAACACACTTCTGCACATTTTAATGCAAGTACTGTTTATTTGCTAGAGGTAAATAACTGGGAAGAATTATAACATTAATAGACAAGTGTACAAAAGTTATGGCACTTTAGATGTGCCAAATATGGTAAACTCAGCAAATAAATAGAAATTATGTATGCTGTATTTAAGATTGTTGTCTGTAAAGCATGTGTAAACTTATTTTTGCTTAGAAAATCAACAAAATGTAATTTGACCAGGGGGTGCCCAAACTTTTATCATATGACTGTGTGAAAATATGACTGTGTTGTGTTTATTTAATTATAAGACAAAAAGTAACAGAAAGTAATCAGATTACATCACTTTAATATAGTAATCGTTTGCAATAGGTTACATATTACACTTTTATAAGTGACCCTTCCAAACCTGACCCTGTTCCACAAGGCAATATGAGTCATAATGAGTCATAATTTCAAATTCATGTTGACTTTAAGATGCTATTTTCATGGGAAAAAGGACTATATATGGCTGTAAAAACAGTCACATATAGTAGCATAGAGTAATTAGTACAATATTTAAATATAATTGAATATAATGTAGTTTAGTAATCAATAATGTGTGTTAAACATGTGAGTGACGCATGAAAGTCTTTTGCTTCTTGGAGCAGAGTTTTGATCAAAGAGCATGGATTATTTTATTAGTAGATGCATTAATAATACTTTAATGTGATACATTATTAATACCACTATGTTGGCATTAGGGTTTAAATCCCTTTGAAGCATTTGTCATTCCAACCTTAAGCCCAGGGGCCCTTTCGCTAAAAATACACCATTTAAAGGGCAAATTCCAATGATGGCTCTTTTGATCAAAGTACAGCTACAAAGTACTACTTCCTGACTCAGTCCTATCCAAAAATGGCCTATTGTCTTATTGAGAACAGCTTTTACAGCGTTCGTTTCCTCTTGGCGCTCATTGGTGGTCAGGCCAGTGAATTTCTTTCTGCAGTGTGTCCTAACCGCAAGCAACACGAGCAGGCGACAACCACAAACCCAAAACACTCCCATTATAATCAAAGAAGCTGTTTACACCAGCTGGGAGCGGCAGAGTGCAATTTTTGATGGACGCCCTGTTTCTGTTTTCTCTGATTTTCCACCTTCAAATGGAAGAGGAAAAACTCATCCATGAAGAGGAGAAAAACAGGGATCTTCTCGACTCTTCCAATAGAGTTCCAACAGTGTGGAGAGATATGGCCAGGGTACTGGACTTTGGAGGTGACAACTGTTTGTTTTGTGTCATTGATTGATAAGGACACTAGATAGCTAAGCAGATACTGTCCATGTTACCAAATACATCCAAAATGCCCAAGACCACCCTGCTAGAAAAACTAGCATAGACGAACATGGCTGGTCACCAGGACAACCAGCATATGTTATGTTTTGATGCTGGTATGCTGGTCAACCAGCTGGGTGACCAGCTAAACCAGCACCAGATCAGCATAGACCAGCTTAGACCAGCATGAATTACTTAGTTTGGGCACCATGATGCCACTTTAACAACGTTGTTCAGACTATTGATATTAAATGTGGTGATAAAACATAATCTGTTATACACTCTATTAAGTCAGTGGTTTGTTTACATTTTGACCTGACATTTGCAATATAGACATCCTGAAGGCTTTGCGACTTGATACTACATTTGAATACTTGCTTGCCGTGAGGACACAGTGTGAGAGCCTCGGCCCATTGTCTGCTAAATGCCGATTTTGCTGTGAGAGTTTACCACTAACCAGTTGCACAGGTTGAGGGAGGAGAGGAGTAGCGAGTGATTAACTCTCATGAAAGAAAAACAAAATCATGACAAACGATATATTTACTATGGCGACGATATAACTTTATCTATACTTATATAGTTTTTGTCTAGGTTTTGTCTTTCCTTAATTATCTTACAGAAAAACGTCAAGTAATCTAAAAGTACATTTTTAATAGGTGATCATTAATGTGTACAGGGATACAAGTAAACTTCCCAACCCTGACCCTCTTTCATCCTGTTAACTACACAAACAAATGTGACTGATCACAATTAGTTTTAGCAATTGTCTGACACCCCATTAAGATTATAATTTTTTTTTCAGATACTTTTAATAATCCTACAATCCTACCTTTAAATCTGCATAGTTGCTCACGCTGTGCTCATCTTTCTGCCTCAGTCCGATCCAGAAATGCCCTGTTAACCCGTTGAGAAAAGCTATCAGAGCGTTCATCTCCTCTTGGCTCTCAATGGTAACCAGGTCAGTGAAATTCTCTCTGCAGTATTTCTGAGCGTCGATCCAGTTCTTATTTTCATTCACTACATAAAACTGACGAGTCCCACAGAAGGAGAGAGTCCACAGAGCTGTAGAGATGAAAGCTCTCATCAGCATGACAGTACAGTAATGAAGCAGCAGAGAGTTTTACAGATGATCATGAAGCTACACTGACCTGAGAAAAGCAGGATCAGATACAGAGCTGAACTCATGACTGTGGAGAACAAGAGAGACACAATCCACACATTAAACACCTCAACAGTCTTTATAACCAGTGCATTATTCAGTACTCATTCTGTTTGTTATGATGTTTTAATTAATTACAGTAACATTAACAACTTAAAACCACAATCAGTGATATGAGATGAACAGAGAGGCTCCAGCAGTAAACAAACAAACAAACATGCTGTAACTAAGGGGTTTCAGAATCATACACAGACATTAAACCATCAGGCAGCTGAGTAGTTAAATGAGAAAAGGTCAAATTCACTGGTAAACCCATATGAGACAATAAGGCAGCAACTGGTACAACTAGAAGAGAGAACCACAGAGAACTTTCCACAGCCTGAGTGGAGAAGGAGAGACTTTATAGGAGGTGGAGCTGTGATGAGGAACACCTGCCTGTTTAAAAAGCAGGAGATGCTGCTGATTCCATGTGAGATTAAAATAACACACAGGCTGTACAAATATAAGTAGAAACCTGACAAGAACTTTATTGGGTACACCTAGCAGAGGTTTAACACATTATTAGCATTATTTCACAAACACAATAACCACACAGGAGAAACATTTTAAGACAAAAAAAAAAAATCTGAAAAAGAAACACAATTCTGCCAAATTCTGCCCTCTGAAAGTCACTTAGTGGTTCAGGAAATTAAGGCATTTCAGTAATGAATAAGTCATTTAACTGGGCTACACTCTTAAAGATTTTTACTTTTAGGGTTCTTTAGTAAAGAAAATGGTTCATTACAGAACTATGAACACTCAAAGAACCCTTTGCATGATTAAAGAGTTATTGCATCATGAAAGCGTTCTTCATATTGATGGAAGTTGTGCATAAATGTGCTATAGATGGTTCTATACAGATTTTTTTTTAAAAGGGTTCTATATAGTACCCAAAATGGTTCTTGTATTGTTAACCTTTCAAAAAGGTTCTATATAGAACCATCTACAACACATTCACCATCAGTCTGAAAAACCTTTATGATGGAAAGAACTCTTTAATCATGCAAAGGGTTCTGTGAGTGTTTCATACTCAGCTGTCACTGTGTCTTAAGATGTCTTAAGATGTCTTGACAGTATTTATAAGATGTCTTGAGACATTTTTTTATGCCAAGACGTCTCAAGAACGTCTTAAGACGTATGAGTGAAGACACAATCTTTGTCTTGAGACATGAAAGTTAACGTCTTAAGACAAAGAAGTAATTATTTTGTGTGTCTTGAAGACGAGGCACAACTTAAGACATCACTTTGTCTTAAGACACAGAGATGTTATGTCTTAAGACAGTTCAGTTGAGACCAAAGAGTGGTCCATTACAAAAGGTCCTGTGGTATGAGTGTGGTATTCCTGTGGTACTGCCAAACTGAAAATTACTACTGAGGATTACCACAGCACTGCCTAATGTACAATATAATGAGAATATAACTATATAAGAGAGAATATAAGTATGTCCTCAAGAAACAGCCTGCTGTGATCATATGGTTTTTATGTGATATTACTAAAAGAACATTCACTAAGGTTTTACTTGCTGTACTTTTGTGATTCTTTTTTTTTTTTGGTATGTTTTGTTTTTTTGATTATTGCAGAAATGTGTTTACAGTGGCAAAATAGCAAAAGAAAAAATCAATTCTTAAACCATTTACCTTACCTTAAAATGTTTAAACTCATTTCCTTATATCATTGAAGTTCATGGTAGAATAACTTTTAATTTGTAACATTTACCAAAGGAGGTAATCACAGTCAGTTACAGGCTTTTGCTCATTTGCAGAAAACATGCTATGATTAAAACAACATTGATCTATTTTCAAATGTACAACTGTAACCACAGACAACAAGCTAGGAACCAAGATAAAACAACTTTGAGCTAATAGGAAGTAAATGTACTTAACAGCTAACCTGAGTACTTTAGAGATCACATACCACCAAAACTTAATGCAGAAAAAGCCCCTGGTTCACTCTCTTCAACATCTACACTTCTGTTTATTTTCTTAAGCAGATCAGGGCTGCCCAAAGTTAGACTTTTAATTTGTATAACTTTCAAAATTATTATCTTCAGTATTTGGAAAACACGAACAATAATAAACAAATGTATTTGAGTACTAATATAAAGATCTATATTGTTTCAACACGTAAAATGACATAATAAACAAATTTTTGTTTAAATGTCCAACTTCATACTTTGACTTTAATCTATTAAGACATGGCCTCCAGTGATGCTGTATGATAATGCTGCACAGCTGTGTTATGTATTTCAAGGGTTTGCAGTTTTCTATTCTGTGTCTAGATTAAAAAAACAAACAAACAATCAAAACAGCACAGTTCATTCAGTACAGAGAGGCGCGAACCGGAAAAAAAGATCTATGGGAGGACAAACAAAAGACTGGCGGGAGTTTAGACCAATCAGAGCGCGAGACTCCGCCGCTTGGACGTTCGGTTTTGAAGCGCGAGCGCTCTCCGCCGTTCCTCCGTTTAAAGCCGAGCGCGACCGTTACAGCGGTTTACAGTGAGCGAGTCTGTCAGGTCGCTACCGCGAGCAGTTTATCGAGTTTGTTTAGCGAGTGTTAAACCTCGATAAGCCTCTCTTACACTCCTTACTGAGACAGCGCCGCCTGCCGGGTGACGCTTTCAGCTCCACAAACGAGGAGTTTCAGCTGCGTAGCTGACTAAAGTTACCTGACTGGACCGAGTGGAGTGGAGACTGGTTTTACGACTGGAGTCCCGACTGCAGCGGTCAGAGTCTGCTTTTAAAAGGTGAGTAGTGACAAAATGAGATGAGCAGCCTCACTGACAGTCAGCTGGGGTACACTTTTATTTCTGTATTTCTGGGTTGATCTGCCGAGTGAAGACACCAGCGGTAAGTTAGCGTATGTAGTTAGATAGCTAGCGGCTAAGCGGCGTGTCTGTTTACGCCTCGCGGCTGCGTCAGATCTCGCTTAGCACGCGCTCCAAATGAAAGACTGCCTCAGAAATAAACCTAAGACTGAACATAGTGCAGCAGGGTCAACACACTGATCACAGTGCAGCAGGGTCAGCGCACTGATCACAGTGCAGCAGGGTCAGCACACTGAACAATACAACAATGAAACTGAACATAGTCCGTCAGTCTGTGTAGTTCAGAGAGGGTAGTAATGATTTTAATTTGCTCAGTTACATTTACTCTAGTAACGTCTTGGTGGATTTGTACTTTCTAGAGTATTTTTAAAATGTATTATCTGTGCTTTAGATTAATAATCTATGTTTTACTCGGCTACATTTATTAGTAATATATAATGACCAGTTTGTTTTGTGTTTAAGTTCATTGTTATGCCTTACTGTTGTTGTTTTGCTGCATTTACCTCATGTGTCTGTTTTGTTTTAGATGTTTCTCATCAGAAATCATCTGAAGCTGAGCAACTGGTGAGACTCAAGTTTTAATTTTTTAAATGAAACTATAAGAATGTCAGACAGATGTTTAGATTTGGTGGGTATTTCAAACAAATATAATTCATGAAGTATTTATGTTAATACAGAAGAGCAGAATGTTTAGGTAAAGCCGGGTTACAGTATTCAAATATCTGCGCTTTGTTCATTCAATTTATTAATATGTTATTTGCCACTGTTCAAAATATCGATATGGCAATATCACCAACACTGTATCAATATTTATGAATTTACTTCTTCACAGTGCTTTAATGTGTAATACTGCAAGTCTCAGAGCGCTACAGTTTATGTGGTAAACATGATCTAATAGAGTTCAGCTCTTATTAATAATCATTTCATGTAATAATTCTCTGTGAGAGAGATTAGATGCATTGAGCTCTTCAAACGTCTGGTTCTTGTCACTGCCACTATGAACAACTCTGACTCTGTAAGTTTTTCCACAGTGGAACATTTTGTATCAAACTACTTTTTTGCATCTTAATGATGAAATTGTGCTTAAAAATTGTGTAATTCTCCTTTAACACAGCTTTTAACAGATACAGATATCAGTACTAAGCTCACACCTGCTTTAACAGCAAATGATCATTTCTGTCACGTGTTGACAGAGGATGAAAACAATAGAATTGTGAATTATCTAATCAACTTTGTTGTTTTCAATCCTTCCCAAGGAACATCCTCTCTTTGGGCCTCATCCTTCTTTCATTACACTGAACATCATTGTCTGAACATCAGCTATGCGTGTGAGCTGGGTGCCACGCTGGAGTTCATGCATAGGTATTATTTAAAGCCTTGTCACATTTCTTTGTGTACTAAATGCCAGAGTTGATTTTAGATGAGTAAAATTATATATACTGTACATTATATTCTACTTATAAAGGGAATATATAATGCTTTCCCTTTTATTTACTGTGTTATGTAGCTTTTTGTGCATGTAAGATACAAAGCTGAAAGTATATGCCAGAGGGAGAAACTCTCTCCCACAGAAACCACTTTTCTCAGCTGCCTGGGGGCTGGAGTTCCCCAGCCCTTTTCCTTTGTTACAAGATGATGTAATCCCATATCACAATCCTTATTGCCCACCTACCAGCGAGCTTGGCATGCCCTCACACAACGCAACACGTCTACCGGAGCCCGTGTATTGGCGGAACCGCTCTGGCGCTTGATCAGTCAGAGCCAAGTGAGCGAGCTAACTAATCTGAGCGTACTGGGCTCATCAGGAAGGAGGGGCTTAAAGACACTGGAGCTCTAACAGAGCGTTTCAGACAGAGGGTGAGTAGAGATTTACAGTATGACAAAAATAATGTGTTTCTGGAACACTGAAGCATGTAAATGTATTATAGTCGACCCCAAAAATAAATTTATGAACATTGGAAATTAGCATAACAGGTCCCTTTTAAATTCAGCCTGCTTGTGTATGCAGATCCAAAAGTAATTTCAAATTTATTGTCTTAAAATTGATTTTTTAACAGATGCATTTTCCTCATATCTCTGACAAAGAAGACCAACACTGAGAAAAAACAGAGGAAGAAGTGATGGGCTGTGAATCTGACAGTTCTCTCACTCATCACGGATTTAACTCTGAAAGGAGAGATCGGTAACATTAGCAGTGTGATATCAGTAATGTTAGTGTTCAGGCATTACGGCATGGACATATGCACATCGAGTTGTCTGTGTCCTGTTTCCTGTGTCCACATATGTCCACAGCTTGACTCTATTCCAGCTACCAGCACATCTGAGTCTGGTATTAATTGTTTGACAGCTGATCATTATCTGGCTCAGGTATGTTATGAGTGCTGCTGGGGTTCAGACCTCTGTATTACTCTGTTGGTCAGTTTGTCCATATTAATTTGTCTTAAAATTGTTTCCCATCATTTATAATTGTTCATAGTACTATGATTATGAGTACTTGTTAATAACCTCAGCATAACTTATATACGGAATAACAGCAGACCTTAAAATCAGATTCATTGGTTTGTGGAACTGTGTATTTATTGCAGTATATTTCAAATTTCTACACAAAGTCAGTTAACATGTTTTTCTCCGTCTGTAGGACATATCAAGTGTGATGACGCTATTGTACTGTGCATATACACAGTTGTAAAAACAATAACTGTAATTATATTTTTTGAAAGCTATGTGGGTGCTTTTTCATGGGCTATGCTTTGGATTGCAGAGTAAATTATTGGAATGTAGAAGTATTCTGAATTTTTAACAGATTAACAAGGAAATACAAAACTGTAAAATAGTGATTTTCCATACCCCTTTAAATGACTTTACTGTAATTTATGCATACTTATTATTGTTCCTGTTCTCCTTATTATTATTATTTTAAAAGTTGATAAAATGATACCTTCATTAAAAAATGAAGCAACTGTAAAATAGCCTGTAAAAAAATGTATTTAACACATTTTACCACATTTTTAAAACATTAAGGGTTAATTACTATAAAAAGGTATTTGAAAGCACTGAATTAGATTTTTAAATTTTGCAGCAACACTGTATTACAAAATAGTTGCATAAGAGTCTTCCCTCATACTACCACCATGTTGAAGGCATGGTATGAACTCACAAATAAATTTTCATCATATCACTGATTCCATAAACTTTTCTAATGCAACAGAAACATTTAAAGGAGAATTCCACATTTTTCTAAACTTGGCATAATTCTGTCATTGCGATGTAAACAAAATCATTTAGTGGTTTCATATAAAATGGCTTATTGTAGAGAAAGTTACAGACTGTCTAAATGTAGTATGTACTAATGTATGTAATGTTTATATGTTTATAAAATGATATGCAATATATTAAAATAAATGATACCATTATGCATCCTACATAGAACAAAAAAATTAAATAATAAAAATAAATTACTATAATTTTAGCTATAAATAATGTTACATTTTAAAATTCCCTTAAAATATTTAAAAGTAAAAGATTTATTTAAAAAAATGTAGGTAAAATTTAAAAATATGTATCATGCATCCTACATCTTGAGACGTCTTGAGATGTTATTATTGCCAAGACATCTTAAGATCCGTGTCTATAGACACGTCTTAAAGACATGTCTTCATGTCTTAAGACATGCCTCAAGATGT